TTCATTTATTTTGTTTGTTGATTCATATTCTTTGTTCCCTATGTTGTATTTCATGAAGGTTGGAGCCAATGGTCTGATATGTCTCAAGCTTGTTGTTACAGCATATCACTGGTGGGGAAAAAAATGAATGGTACAAATACATCTAAATTCCTCCGTTAACAAAAGATGAAAAAAGAAAACAAAAAAACAAGCGCCTAACATTTAACAGTTCTAATCATAGAAGCATGATTCAATCATTGAACTGGGTCAACTTGGGAATACATTTACGAGAATAAAGGATATTACACAATAAGCTGGACGCATTTATTCAAGTCAGTAAACAAATTTGCTCTAAAGGAAAACAAAAACGACACAACCCAGAAACGATTATCCTGCTATCTGCACAGCTGTCAACATTTTATACAACCAAAGCAATTTAATATGTGAGCATAGCAGCCCTATAAAATGAACTCAGGTGTTCTTAAAATGATTTAACTTTGTTTGATCAACTCCAAGGTAAATGCATTTTAAAGCAATGTTCTTAATTTGCATGCCATCCACATTATTAACAAGCTTAAGCTTTATAAGGCATATATATGCCAGATTCTGGTGGGGAGGAGAAAGAACAAGATATAAGAGTTATGACAAGGTCGACCTAAAAGGATTAAATATTTTATGGGAATTATTTATCCGATGCAGTCTTCTTTGAAAATATGATTGCAAAACTATTTTAGAACACAAGGCACTTATTCACCCTTAGGACAAATATCCTTTTTATCCTTTTAATAAAGTACAAATTTGCTTGATTGGAGCAAGTTCAGGTCCTCATAGCGTACATCCAGTACATAATAATGTGCTTTATCAGTGACCTGAAATAACTTAAAATCCATTAGGCATTAAAGGAAGTTTACAAGATGAGTGAGCTGCTCTGGATTGCAGTAAAAAGGGACAGAGAGGCTATATTTCAGACTTACTATTGCTTATTTCTTCCAGAGTATGTAGACATTCAGAGCAGGTGAACTGGAAACTGTAAAGTGCCCACAGGTTGGAATGTGTTTGTTCACGTGTTAGTCTGACCTGTCTGGGATGTTCTCTAGCCCGTTGCCTCGTGGGAAGCTGGGACTCGCTTCAGGAGCCCTCTGACAAGGTGGACCGGAATAAGAATGAGTAACTGGAATGCATGGATGGATTGATAGCCTTCACACTGAGAGACATGGCTGCATTCGTTGACACTGAGACGGATAATGACTGTGTTAAGATGGGTCGTAGGACACGTGTCCATTAGTGGCTGATGTCAGAGCACTTTCCCAGAGAGTCCTTGGGGAGAATACCTTTCAATTTTACATTCTCTGCATTTTTTCAGCAAATGAATTCAGTAAAAAAAGTGTGCCCTTGAATTTTATTACATGCAGTCAAATGTGGAAGATTTGCATTAACACCTTTCACCTTGTGTGTAGTTTGCTGTTCATATCCCTTAGTGACATGCAAACATTTTCCTTGTCACAATATGTCTATCTATAAAGACCTGCACTTTGTTTCATATGAATCAGCTCAAGCAGGGGTCTTCTGTATTTTTTTCAGCTCAGTACCCGAGACAGAGCATAGACCCCTGTACTGTGGGTGGGAAAGCAGTGATGGGCAGTAGAGCCCGCTACATGTAGCGAAGCTATTAGTTTAACTATATTTTCCAGTAGCTTGACCGTAGCGTTGCTGCTTTATTTATCAAGTAACTTTCCATGAGTGACGTTATTGTTTTTATCAAGTAGCGACGTAGTGTCCACAAACGCTACAAAATCCAGGGCAAAACTAAGTAATTATTCTATTCTGCCTCTTCTGTCTGTGTCTACGAAACATGCGCATGCGTACTGCAGTGGAACTCAAAGAATGACACACACAGAAACACGCAGACACACAGAGCCACACACAGGATCGCTACCACACCGTGGCCTTATCTTCAGAAATTTTGAAACTTGTTGAATCCTCTGATAAAAAGTACGTGTTCAGATGTTTTAAGGCTTATTTGCACAGATAAGATTTTTTAGGTATGGAGGAACAGCTCTCCCATGTATAAAAATAAATAAATGCTCAATAAATAAATAAGCATTCAATTAATTACCCCCCAAAATACAATGAATAAATATGTAGGTAGAAATAAAATTATACAGTGAGACATAAATGTATATATATCTCTTAATTAGCTTCTTTACTTTTTCACCTTTTTTGTAAACAGTTTCATTTGTTACTTGAATCGACTGTTTAATTGAGGTCTAAAGAAGTTTTCTCTTAGGGAGACCCTAAAGAAATAAGGGTTTTGTTTTCCCTAGAGATGTCCATTGAATGTAAACTCATAGCCATGTCTCGATGTGTAGAACACTACACAGTACCTTCAATTTAGTTCTAATAACAGCAGATTGTTTATTTTTTGTCTACTAGTAATTACTTTAGTTTATTTTAATATGCTAATCATAAAGCAATGTTTACACTGTGTTATGTCATTGGCTGATCTTTAATAAATATTTTAACCAGTGTATCAGACTCATTTTGAATTGATATTAGGTTGGTACAACGTTAAGTAGCTTCTGATGTAGTTAAGCTACTTTTAACACATTAGTGTAACTTAGATTGCTATAATTCTTTAGGTGGTAGCTTTTGTGTAGTGAAGGTTAATTTATTGTTTATAGCTTAGCTCACTACACTGGACAAGTAGCTTGCCCAACACTGAGTCAAAGATATACCCTGATAAGCTCAGAGGGTTTAATCCTAATGGCCTTAAAATATACAACAAAATAAATAAAAAATACCACCACAGTTTTCTGGTCCTGATACAAACATTAACCTGTGTTGACCACACTATGCCTGATTATTTGGTGTTAAAAAGAAGTTAATTTACGGTATTTATTTTTTCCCATGCCTTGCTTGGCCTGTCAATGGGCCCTCTGGGCATAAGGGGTCTGCAGGTCCCCAGTCATGTGCCCATTCTAAGCAGATGTGGGTTGTCAGGGCCTTCAAGGCCTTCACTGATGGCCTAAAATAAACCTTTCAACTCTTACCTACATTCACAACCTAAACCTTTATTTTTCTTCTATCAAACTGTATAACTTTACTCCAAACAATCCATTCTCTTAATATTGAAGCATTTCTTTTATGTGGTTGCTACAGTTATGTCAAATCACATTTGAGCCTCAGCGCATTGCCTTGTGATGAACGGTTTGTAATGAAACTGAAATCTCGATTGCAATGTAGATTATAGTTGACCATAAAGTTGACTGATTGATTGCTATGTCAATCAAATATGCCCAAGGCCTTCAGAATCAGCAGTGCTGCACCATGTTAACTAAACAGTATTAGTGAGGAATGTTTTCTTCAACCAATCAGATTTCAGATTTCCCCCACCCTAATGTCACCATTTTCTGTCCTCTGATTGGTGTGTTAGAGCAAAAATGTTTACAGGCAAGTTAAGCTAGTGACAATCTGCATTCTAGATGAAATACTAAGACTTCCTGCATAAAGACAGAAGGACGGATTTTGTTTATAAATAATCAGCATCAGTGGTGAGCGTGATATATAGTTAATTTGACATGTTTTATGCACTATTTTATCTGGTAATTAGATGCATATTAAATCTGAATGGCTACTGATTATGTAAATGTTGCGGAGCTGTGGTTATAGAGTAGAGGATTGCCATTATCTTAACTGGTCTTCTTGCTAATTGATCTCTGTATTCACCCTCACAATAATCTTCCTCTAAGTTATACCTGCATCTGATACATTTCATTCTGAATATTATAGGTGGTTTAAAATGTGAAAGTGGTGATATTAACCCCTTGACACCCATTGTTGAAAATATGCAGTAAACCCTTTGTATTACCAAGATAGCATCTGTATGTCTCATTCCTTTGTGTTTTTTATGTGATTAACCCGAACAGAACAGTAGTTGTGAAGTGAAATGAAAGTATGAAATGCTTTTACAGTTAGGTCCCTCTGACTAATCCACCTATCAATACAAAAAAACTGTCTGTGATTTGGGCTGTGTGTCCACCAACATTTTACATCCAGGGGACTAAAGTTTTTGTCTCATCATTCTTAGCAAAACACTTGTCATGCTACAAATAATAAATTTGATTACATGGTTGGTGTGAGGCATGGCTGTTGAGTCAATGAGTCGATGCAATCAGCTGGTTTTCCTTAGATAGAAAAGTTTGAACCAATCTGACTGTATGATCCAGTTGATCTGTCTCTGTAAAGTACCTTGAGAGGGCATGTGTTGTGAATTGGTGCCATGAAGAAAATTTGTTGAATTTAACTCAGGACTTTGATCTAAACCATTTTATTTAAGGTCTGACCATATGTTAAAGATCATTGTCCTAGTGGTAGATAAAAATCTCTTCCAATCTAACAAATTAGCAACTCCTGCCAGGTTTTTCTCTTGTATTTCTATAACTCCATCTTTCCATAAACTCTAGACTGTTTTGCTGCCCCTGCTGAAAGGAAAAGTCTCTTCACAGCATGGTACTGCCACAACGATTAGGCTTTGGCAACATACTGTACTTTATACTAATTACAGAAACAGACATTAAAAAGCAGTCGAAAGAGAGCATACATTTTCAAACATTGATGCAAAGCAAGGAAAGACAGCAGAACAAAATTATTGGTAGAAATTCAAAATACATGATGAACTATTTCCATGATGTGTGTTTTTCAAATAAGCTTTAAAAATGAGTAGTTATTAGAAAATATTCATAGAATAATTGAATTATCAAGCAAATATCCCTCCAGTATCAGCGTCAGTAATCTTAATAGCATCTCTCAGGCTGTGTGCAGGACGTGGGTGAACAGATCGCTCCAAAAAATCCCAAGCATGTGCCAGCGAAAATAATAAAAGCTATAAAAAAAGTGTTCACAAAGTAATTGTGTCACTTCGTGTGCCTGCATGTGTGGGATTCGACAGAAAAACAATGTAAGAAGCACACAATGACACATAGACATACTGTAGTTCGGTATCATCCAAAAAACAAAAAGAGAGAAACAGACAGGCTATGAATGCATTGCTTCACTGGCTCTAAATAATAAATGCAACAGCTTTGATTCACAGCCAATTGCGGCCGACTCTCACGCAGCACAGGTGAAGGCGTCAAGAGAACACATGAATTTTTCTCTGATTCCTGCAGCTTATCGGAGATCCAGGGGGATTGGTGGTGGATTAGTGCTTGTTTACACCAGGATAAGCATAATAGAGGCATGTGTGTTCTTCAAAAAAATCTTGTACAATTATTTTTAGATGCCCCTGGAGAGGTGTTGTATGAACTATAAATGCAAAGTAAAGTGAGGGATCATTGCCTCTCTGTTATTTATAAAGGATTAATAAATGCTTTAAATATTCTTTAATAGTCTGCCCAATTGCCTATTTGTACCCTTCCCAGCTTGTTGTGGGCTCAGATCCAGTGGAGGTTCTATTTGTCCGTATGGCTCTCCGAGCTCTGAGGGACACCAGGTTCAACAACCTTTCTAACTCATCCCCAGAGCCGGTCAGACCAGCAGGGCTGAGTCCTTCCTGATCCTCCTGTGATCCCCTCCATTGCTCCTCTTGTAAATCCCAGGCCCTCAAAGGGGGCAGGAGTTGAGCCGGGTGCAGGTTCAGGCCTGGAGGGCTTGACGGATATCCCTCATAGGCTCTTCGAGTTGGGGGTAGAGTGTCATAAAGAGTCTCTGAGTCTTCATTTGGCTCTGGATCATGGCTATCCTCTCTGTACTCCTCGTAAATAGGTGAAGAGTTTTCTTCGACACTGTCACAGCCTTGCAGCTGCAGATGTTCTCTATGGTGCACTGCCACATTCCTGCCTCTCGTCTCTGGTTTCTTCCCATCCCCTTCATGCCTCCTCCTTTCCCACTCGCCAGACTGGTTTCTCTCCCACTGGAAGGTCCTCCTCCTGTTCTCCTGGTCCCACTCCTGGCCTCTGTCATCACTACAGCTCATCATCGTGGAGTCAAGCTGCAGGGAATGTGTGCTGCCTCCACGCCTGATGTTCTGCTGGGCATCACCAAGGTTAAGACGCGATCCCACCTCTGTTGGTTGCAGCCGCGACGGTGACAGCCAGCTCAAACTTTGAAAGGAAGTCTCCCACCGGTATGCTGAAAAAAGAAAAGGAAGAAAAATGCATCTATAGGTTGTTTGGAAGCCTTTTACAGACAAGAAGTATTATTTTAATGAGCAGCTCAAGTATTCAAGTTCACACGCTGCGTTTTGAGCCCACGGCTCCACTGCATGAAAACTAATGATGCTAAACTGCTTTAGGCATGAAGACCTTACTTTAAACAACCTCTTTCACTGTCTTTTGGATAGTGTGAGAAGGAATGACATGATCGGTTTAATAGGTTTCACATCAGTAAAAATTAGCTACGCTTTGGAAACCATTTTATAATCCTGACAACAGGAGGTGGAGTGAGGTGAGCCAAGCAATAAACTGCAATGCTTTGCAAATGCATTCATGCATCCTTTTTTTTCCTTACATCTTGTCCTGTTGTTAGCACAGGATTCATTGTAACCTAATAGGATTTTATGTCTTAGATCAAGAAAAAGCAATGCTTAATTGCAAAGTGAAAGGAAGATTATACATGCTTGATAGAATCTAAAAGTGTGGCAATCATTTATTTTTTTTTAAGTTTTGCAGTCAGTTTCACAATGGATATAAGTCTGCATTTTAACAAGGCTATTTTAATGTTTTACGGTATGTGTACAACTAATATTTGTCCGATTGACAGATTAGCTCTGCATTACCTCTAGAGTTACCATCGGCCTCCCTAAGAAAATTTACTGATTTTTCTTTCCTAAAGATTTTATAAAACAAACCATACTTTTTTCTTTCACTTACCAACTATGAACTTTGCATTATTCTAATACTATTAACTATTTTAACCAAGTCTATCATATTTAATACATGTTTTTGTAAAACCTGTGCATCTTCAGTGTGATATTTCTGTTCATGAAAGCCCAGAATTTGACAATCAAACATATGTAGTGAACAGAACATCTTTAGTAGATTATACAAAAATGCTTTATGTATGACGAAAGATGCGAATAAAGGATCTTATTTAACAAAAATTCTGCATTTTTTTTCTCCTTTTTTATTTGTCAGGATATTTAATGACAACTCTAGTTTGAAAAAAAAAATTGAATTTTCTGAAAATAATTTCATGTTCCATGCTGCAAAGGCTTAATATAGTCAAACTAAAGTTTTGGTTTTCTCCCTGTTAAAATGTACCTAAGTTGACTGATAACAGATATTTTATTAAAAATTTTTTTGTTTTTGTTATTTTAATTACAGATTTCTTTTAATTATATATTTTAATTCCTCTGAAATCTGAGCTCGCTTCATCCAATGGTGTTGGACTTAATTCTATTCCAGTCCAATTTCTGTTGCAAAAGGTTTTTATTATTTGACTGGTAATGAATATTAACCTTCATGCTTCATGTTCGTTGTAACCTAGCCTCTTAGACAAGACCGAGAGAATTCCCCATACGTTGTCAGATAGGAGGAGAAGACCCTAATATTAATTGTTGTTTTGAAACATTAATTATTGCATGTTTATAGCTCTATATCTCTGTTTATCCTCTTCAGTACATTTGTGCTGGAAAGTTTACATACCCTCCCACTAACATTATGATAAATCCACACCAGGAATCCAAATAACACAAAACTAAAAGAAGTAATAATAAATAAAAATGTACTTAATGATGATTTATTATAATAAAATAATGATTTTGAATTTTTGTTTTAAAAAAAATCTAAAAAATATACTGTCCCAGACAAATTAAAGCACCTTGCTCATGAACACATGAACCAACATACAACAGGTGCAAAAGTCTGATTGAACATTTACTAAACATTACAGGAAACATCTGATTTCAGAGATGGACTCAAAATATTGCTCGACAAAACTTTAGTTCCGAAGCTCCATCGCGCATGTTTACTTCTTTTACACTATTTATTAATATAAACATTTGTATGTATTTATATATATTCAAAATCAATTTCAGATTTTTCATTATTATCATAATTTTTCATGTATCATTACCTTTGTCAATTTCAATTTATTTTAATGACCATTGTTTTCTGTCTTTAGTGGAAGGTTATGTAAACTTTCAAGTATAACTGTAATTTCAGTACTATATAGTAATTTTCTTAACCATTTAATTAGCCTGCCTGGAAATTTCAGCTGTGTTTACCTCAAATCAGAATATTTATATATGGACAAATAGGAATGAGTCAATAAAATGCAACATTTCGAAATCTTGCCCTTCATGGAAATAAGTTATTCAGATAGAACAACAACAGGAAAGCACAACTCCCTACAAACTACGGCATGCAGGTTGCATAATTCATGATTTGGCTAATGAGCTGTGAGTGAAAAGGTATCATATCGATGAAGTGAAGGGAGCCAGAGGGGTCAGTCTCTGTGTGGGATAACGTGTTCACTTCATTAGTGTCCTGGAGAGTGCCAGCTCCTGGGGTGCTGTGCAAGACACACACGGACAAGAGGTGTTTACTAGACTCCCATGCCAACAAACCAGAAAACATTCGGGACTTTTTCGTTTCTCTGCATGCCACGCTGCTGGAATATCTAGGTTTCTGCTTGGAATATCTTTGAATAAAAGGGGAATAAATAAATAAATGCATACTCTTACAGTCCACAGTGTACTGTTTGATGAATTCTACACAAATCTCATCCTTGCTCTGCAGGTGGTTCCTTGCTATTGGTGAAATGGAAACAAAAACAAAAAGATCTCATCGGACAGAAACACTTGATGCAAGTCTCAAAAAAAAAAACCTACAGTAAACAAGGAAAAAAAAACATGGTGCAGTACAATAAAGAAATGCATGAAAATTGGAACATATCATAAATATAAATTGGCAAAATCCACAACAGGTGTAAATTAGGACTGCAGATAATCATTTTACGAAATCATTTATCAAAATCTTTTTTATTTATCAATCAATCAATAAAAGATTCTTTCAGTCACTATTCCTCAATGTGGAAATGTTTTGAGCTCAAAAAAGATTTTAAAGGAATTCCAAAGGGCAATGCATGAAAATAGCAAGGTAGGAACATGGTTGTGTTACAGCAGTTTTCTATTGTTCCTTATGGTTAAGCTTGGTGATAGTGGTTGCTTATTTTTAGACTGTGAAATAGATCATGCTTTCCCTTTAAAAACAAATAATTTCAATAAAAATTAAATAATTGAAATAAATTGTTTAAACTATATAGTGGCTTTTCATGAACAAATGATAGAAAAAGTAAGCAAGTGAGAAGTGATTAGATCAAAAGTACAAACATATCATCTACATATCTGGCATAAAAGTCAAATGCACCATTAAGAAGGTTTGCCCTATTCTCTGTTGCAGGAAAACTACTCAACATATGGCACTTTAAATCTGTTTTATAAATGTTATTAAGGTTAGTATTTTCCAGCAGTATCTTGTTTCATAAACAGCCGTGTAATACTTTATTTATTTGTATTCATCCCTGAGTATAAGAAAGAAAACTGCCAAAAGATGCAGCGACTACTCGAGGGAAGTCCACCTTCTGTTTTTACTGCAGCAGTGTGAGCTGTAACTCTGTAGTATATAAACAGATGATTTACTCTAATAACAATCTAAGTAAATATATTAAAAACAAAGGTAAAATATTTAATGTAGTTATACCAGCCTTTAATAGGAAATGTTAGATGTTTAGATGTGACACAAGATCAAGCCATTATGCAGTAAATGGAAAAAAATCTGATACGTGAATTCAAATCACTGTGCAGAGAAAAAATGGAATTTTTGAATCACTAAGATTTTGAAAACTTTAAAACCTGCCCTGATAAGTGATGTAGAATCTTATTATTATTATTTTTATATACCTTTTACCTAAAATGCTGGATAGGGTTAGGGTCTTATATTTTGGATAAGAAATGTATGACCACTGAAAGTTTTTCAAAGTTTATAGTTTGATCAATATTTTTGTAAAAAAAAAAAAAAAAAAAAAAAAAAAAAACATTTACTGAGCAATGTGCGAACTCTATGAAAAAACATGGGCATGTTTCAGTTTGGGTTTCATTCCATATTCAGTCTTATATTACATTTCCTCAGTCGTTCATAAAATACATTCAAATTCCATTTAATCCTTGGTTTTACAATTCTTTTTCATTTTATGTATAGTTTTGTGCTGTACTGTGGAACATACTTCCCTTTTCAGCACTGGCCTTTGTAAAAAGCATTTTTTTTCATCAGACGGTTATCAATAAGAGTGACCACTTACAACACTCTTCTATACTGACAATTTTGGTGCATGAATTACCTGAAAAATCGAAATCTGTGATGGAAAAAGGCAACTTCAGGACAAACATAATAACACATTTGTTATATGTAAATTTGCAAAACCTTATATGCTGTCATGTGTAGCTCCTCTGGGCTTAGACATGTTAGATTTATTGGGATTGTAAAGGCTGATGGCTTTATATCTAGCATAAATCTTTTGTAATTGTACCTGCATTGACGGCACTGTTACTCTTGTTATTCAGTAATTTCTAGGGTGTTTTCAACTGGTTCAGTTAATTAAAGCTAATTATGAGTTCAGTATATCCCCTTTTTAGTCTCTCTGACCTCTTTCATTTACTGTACAGCTAGTCAAAACTTCCTGAAATAATTAGCCTCTGTAACCATCTCATTGAGACTCAGAATTTGTTCTGCTTTTCTTTTATATACCATACAAGCTGAATAGTGAATTCTAATGAATAGGATTTAAAAAAACAACAACTAAAAATAACAAATGTCCTTCTTAGTTTCTTTTATTATCCGGAGCTGTAAGTCCTGTAGTGTAAGGGATAAAACTCGCTTTATATTTTCATTACTAAGTATTTGAGTGACGCAGATAAAAAATAATGAACATGTAGCTTCTTGCATGTGTGGTCTCATTTCATAGGCAGTCTTTATTGTATAATGCTTGGAGTTAAAGGCAACATTCCACTAGGTCAGATATTAAATGCTTTTTACAGTAGCCAAGGGAATAATGGAAACTAGGAAAAAACAGACTTTCTAAATACAAGACTATTAATACTAACTCTAAATCTGCAGCACAGGCAGCAGACGGAGACTTCATCTTACTCTGTAGGTGTGAAGCTTGTGTCTGTTTGTAGGGGCAACGCATTGTTAATTTGGAGAGAAAAGTGAGTGGTCAAGCTGTGACGGATGCCCTATTTAGAGTGAGAGTTTAAGCTTCGTTTTTCTACAATGCACTGTGCATATGTGAGCCAATATACTTGGCTCAAAGTGCCTTTAAGATCCCGAGAGACCATCTAAAAGGCTGAGGTGAAAGCTTTGCCTTGCTTAAAAGGATAATTAACAATTAAATAATGTATCCTGTGGAAAACATAAACTCATGTTTTTGTTTTGGGGTATAGATTTTATGCAAAAACATGGTGAGAGTAAATGATTCAATTTTGAGACAGGTAACAGTGTTCTGTTCTACTCTAGATATGAGCTATTCATCTACAATATGGTTTCAAATAACTCCACAGAAATAGTACTCCCAAAGCGTGAAGGCTTTTTTAGACAGACAATGCAACCCACCTGGAACAGGAAAAATTGCCAACAGCAGCTTGAGTAAAATAATAAATAGTCCAAGGTGGTTACCCGTCCCCAAATCCGCCTGAACATCTGTGGGATGCACCGGAGCTAAACCCAATACCACCCACCCACAGTCAAGATGCCTTGCCAACTGCTCCACTTCAGAAAGCACTGAAAATGCCAAGAAATCCCATCTACATGACAAGATGAGTTGAGCTGTTTCGTGAGATGAGAGGGAACCTTCAACGAGGAGGCTGGTGCTTTTTATTTTCAGTAGCCGATTGGAACAAAAGGCAGCAATAATGATATAGCTGTAATAGGATTTATTTTTTTAAGATCTAAAATGTATGGTTGCATCTAAGCAAATTTTAATATTCTGAAGCAGTTGGTCATTATACAAGATAAAGAAAAAATTGAGTTATAATACAGATATATTCTGTTATGGCCATAAAATGCCTGGAAAATAGTTCAACCTGAAAAACTCACAAAGAGGAAAGCAATTAGACGAGTTTTATTGAAACAAATTTTAAGGCTTTGCGGCTTAGGCCTCGGTGGGGTGCATTAACAATGAATTATACTTTGATTAAATGCATGAGCTCCTGAATAAGGAAAAGGATGAAGCCCCCAAGGCCTGAAACTGGTGGTTAAAATGAAGATGGAATGAAGATGGATGCCAACTGGAACAAGGCGCAGGTTCGTAAGAACCAGCATAATAAGCAAGCATAAAGCAACAGTGGAGAAGAAAAACTACCCTTGGGAAAACTCTCTGGCACAACCAGGCTAAACATGGCAGTCTTCTGGCACATCGGCTGGAGATGCTTTGTGAAAGCAGTCTGAGTCTAGGGAATTAAAGTATACAAAATTGCTAAAAGTACCAAATAAATGGGAGCAAAGTTACTTTTAAATGTAAAATATAAAGTTTCATGGTCACAGCTGCCAAAATATTTTGAAGACTTAAACCATTTTATTTTTGCTTGATGCTATGGTTTTTTTCCACACTTGAATATACTCCAAATTGTGAGACATCTTTTCCACAATCGCTGATAATCTGGGAACTATGCCAAATGTTGGTATCAATAAATTGTCTTTTTTATTTTAAGTCTATTGTCTACCCACCTGTCTGGCACAACATTTCAGAGCTATTCTTCCCTCCCTTTGCTGACACGCTTTATGGAGAAACCGATTTCTTTTTACAGCAGGAGCATGACCTGAGCAACTGCCAAAAGACACAATGTATTGTATTGCTGTGCTTGCTTGGCCTGCAGCTGGCCTGGGCTAACCCCTATAGTGAATCTATGGTGTATGGGCAAAGAAATGAGGGACATCAGACCTAACAAGGCAGAAAAGCTGAATGTTATTATTAAACTAGTCCTACTTGTTAACACCTCAGCAGAAGCACAGGCTCAATTTCTCCATGTATTCCAATTGATGAAGTAATTCATGCAAAAGCCTGAGTTAATATGCAGTAGAATAAGATGTAGGATATAAGTTACTATCTCAGTATATAAAATATAGTAGACTTTGTCAATTAGACAGCTGCAGCTGACCCCCTCTTTACTAAAACTAAGAAAACAGAGTACATCACTCCTGTCCCTGTATCTCTGAGAATAAAAGACTTATGATGGCTTTGAACCAAAACACACACATTTTTTTGTGTATCAATGGCCCAGAATTCTCAGTCCAGACTTCTCAGGTCCTTTAGATCAATTCAACTCTGCAGACTTATGCTAAGTTTACACCACACGTGACATCAGCAAAAAAGCACCTGCTGCTTAATTTTTTAAGCTGGTACACATTAAGGTCAGATACCCCTCAACAGCATCATTGATGGTCCTGAAGCTTGTCCCGTAAAGTGTGCACAGATGCATGTGATGCTTGTTTTGCTGCTCCTGCTTCTATGTCAGAGAGCGGCTTTGCTATATTTTCTGTGATCAGTGGGTAAGAAGTAGCTTTAATATGTTTTTAAGTAAGAAAGTCCATCTCAAAGCATTGGCTTGGCAGTCAGTTCATCAACATTATGATCCTGCCTTGAAATATTGTTTCGCTGTCGGAGGCATGCAGAACCCTACATACCGGCGATGCGCTGTCACTGAGAATCCAGCAACAGCTGCCTCAGTCGGTAGCCTCTTGGGGGTTTTTCCCCTGGTGTCCGTGGCGGCTAGAAGTAGATTTTAGCGTTTTTTAGGTATGTAGTACAAACTGCAGGCATCAGAATAATAAAATTGAACATATTTTGCCAGCAGGTTTTGACATTTTAAGTTAATTCAAGCATTAAACTGTTTCAAGGGAGTGATCATAGTGCTCTACATGAGCAGTACTGTGTCCATCTCCCTGCCAGCTTACAGATCAGCTTCTCTGGTTGGTTGATGTGGCACATCAAGCAGCAAAAGTAAAATTTTTCCAATTCCAGCGTCTTGTGAAGCGCTGCTTGTGAAGGGTACAGTAGCACGCGCCTCGGATGCTCAGAAGCTCATGAGGCGCTGCTTCAGCTGCTCAGATGCATCAATATGCGCTGCTCCTGCTGCTCTAGACGCGCTGCAGTATCTTTATGATGCGCCTTGGTGCTCGTCAACCATAGACTTTGCATGTAAACCAGCTGTTTCTGCTGCTCAGAGCACCTCCATTTTCAATGTAGAATTAGAACAGAACCAAATGGAAAAATTTAAAGTGCTGAAACCTTAAGATCCTTTAAATATTCCTTGTCACGTACCGTGATCTGACCAGTTTCTTCCCCAGTAGCTCACTCGTTGTATACTTGCCGAAGCTGGCAAGTTGATGGATGCAGTAATAAGCACTGCCATTAGATTGCAACGTCCTGCAATAATATTTATGTCTACCAGTTGCGATTAGTGCAAAATGTATTGTTTAGGTTAAGAAGGACAAAGTAAAGTCTATCAGGACAGGCGATTGGTGTAGATACTGGTTTATTTCAACATTAATACATGGTTTTCGGTGATTTTGGTATAGATATAGTACACGATGAGGCCACTTTAACTCAAGGTTAAAAACCTTTTTGTTTCCTCTGACTATTCTATAGATAATTCAGAAACATCATAATTTCAAGTTTGTAGCCTAGCTTTTCTTTTTCTGCATAATTATGCCACCACAATATCTCATTCTCAGCCTGATTTTCTTTTCTTATGTCATTTTTTTGTAAAGCAATTTGAATTGCCTTTTTAAAGAAAATTGCTACGAAAATGAGAGCAGCTTTCTAAGAACCCTGACATTTTTATAGATAGTTTCTAATAAGGTCTAATTTTGGGGTTTCATTAGCTGTGTACCATAATTATCCTCAAATAAAGTAAAAATCATAAAATACATCACTGTGTTTGATAAAGCTTTATATAAGATTCACCATTTGTATTGAAATATTCATATTATGTCTCTAAATATATTCTAATTTAATAAAATCCTCTAGAACCATAAATTAAAACACATCTAGTTGTTAGTTTGATTACTATTGCCCCTGATACATTAAAACGTCAAGCAACCAAAATATATCTATAAATTGGCATGAACTAAATCTGCTAATCTGTCATGTATTCGGTGCAACAAATACGTTCATAGAATGTAAAGAATACAATAGGTTTGGTTTAGGATAAAGGTTCAGTGAGGGTAGACGGAGGGATGGGTTTTTAATAAGATGTTTTTCAGCTGCTTTGCATCTCACTCACCCGGGCTGTTCCACTGCTGTTCTTTGTCCATGTTTGACACTTCAAAGGGAGAGAGAAAGCCAAAGTCAGAGGAAGCCAGAGACAAACAACACAGGAACCAAAGAGGGAAAATTGAAGTAGAGAGAGACGCAGTGTCAGAAACTGACAGAAATATTGAAAATCTAAGCAGGATGTTTTATTCTTAATAAGAACGGGGATTCAAGTGCACAGGCTGGGCTGCTTTTAGCACACTGTATCTTTTTGCGTTTTCTGCTGAACAAAGAGTTTGGCATCAAAACAGAGACACAAAAGAGAAAGAAGAGTTAACAGAAGATGTACTTTCATACCTTCACTTTCAATATCATCAACAGCATCATTGACTAGCCGTATGACAGTGACTATGGATGCTAGAAGGGAAACAGAAAGAGAAAAACAGAAGGACAGGCAACCTCAGTGCATTATTGATTATGTGCCACTGTAATATAGAAAAATATATTTTAAGCTGCGGCACACATGTTGAAAACACACACACACACACACACACATATATATTGTTGTTGTTTATGTTACGTTTTAGGTCTGTATTTTTGTATGTTTTGATATAGGGAAAAATTCAGTTTTGAGCCATGCTATGAATTTACTGTAGGTTAAGTTTAGGAATATACTGGTTAGGGTAAATGTCAGGTGTAGCAATAAATGTAATACTTACAATAGATCTAAGTCAATGTTAAGTCTTCATATGGCTAGAAATACACACCTGTGTGCGTGTGTGTTTTTGCCTTTGGGTGTTGGGAAAACAAGGTTTTTTTTAACACAGTTACACCACTTAGACAAGAAAAACAACATCGTCAACACCTGGTTCTCCTTTCTAAAAAAACAGAACATCAGTTAGATGCACATAAGTATGATCAATACTGTGCCTGACTTATACTAACCTATACCTGGCTAATTAAATGCACAAGTTAATAAATTAAATGGAGGAGACAAAACAGATAATTATAGTATTTTAATGCAGTATAGTTAGGATGCAACTCATGAAACATAATTTTATTTTACTGAAACCATTTCAAATCATTGCTAGTTGTCAAGAGCTGTTAAAGTGTGAATTGTAAATGTGATTTCTTGAGTAAACTTGCAAAATCAAATGTTACTATTTTAAGAGGTTTGCTGCAGGCCGTTCTCATCCCAGCTCTTTGTGTGATTTAAGCTTCTACCGAACAGAATTTGCTCACATGAGAAAAATGTCATTGTGGACATAAAAAAAAAAAAATCTCTATCTTTGATTGTCTTTAACATCAATCAGGTGAAATTTATGCAGGCAGTTTATGAAGCTAGAGCAAGAAGAGGAAAATATAGGTTAGACGTCTACAAGGGAGCACTGACAAGCAACAGTCAGAATCTGTATGACAATATCTAAAAATCTGCTTTTGCACAATCTAGCTTTTTATGGTCCATTGTAATCATTACCCAGAATTCAAGTTGAGCTTTTTAAAATATGGCAGAAAAGGAGTAAATGACCCTTCATCGCTTGAGATGCTGGTTTGGGGTCTTTTGTTACCTCTTCAGTCAAGTTATCTTTGCGCTTTTGGAGTATTTTTTGAGTAATTTGAAACTTTTGCTTTTTGACTCCAAACCGTTGAAAATGGTTTTGTGACCCTTATTGATTTGATCATTACCCATATTTATACTGTTGTCCCTGCTGCCTTCTGGGAAGAGGCTTCGCAGCATTCAATGCAGGTCCAGCAGATTCCAAAAGAGTTTCTTCCCCACTGCCATCAGACCGCTGAATATAAAAAAAAAAACTCCAAATCATAGACTCTGCATGAAACCGACCATATCATACTTTTTTTTTTTTCCCACAATGTACATTTAATCTCTGCTGCACTTTAAGAAAATTGAAATGTCATGAGAGCTGAACTAAACCAAATTTCGTTTTGTAAACACTCTGTGCATACAAAATGACAATAAATGTGTAAGTCATATGTGTTTGTTCTTGTTCTTATGTTCTTATGTTGCAATTTCTTTAGATCTAGGAATTAAGTTTTACTTGTTAAGATCGTTAAACTTACTTAAAGTTGTCTGCAAGGTTCTATTTATTTTAATTCTATATGTCTGGCAGTAAACAGGCCTGGATGTAGCTACTGAAACAGAATGAAAAAAAGTGCCAAGTTAATAAACAAAGGGGGCCTGGTTGTTGTTTACTAAGTTTTGTTTTCTCAATAAATGTTTCTTTTAAAATTTGTGTACTGGATTTTGCTTACTCTTGTTTTTTGTTTCATGAACACCAAAGACCAAAAGACGTCTAATAGGGGACAAATACTTTATACAGATGTTAGTGAAGCATTAGGACGCACAATGCATTGGCAGGTTATTTCTGTTGTCTATTCCTACCATTGTCATCAATGGAATCCGAGGTGTAGGAACTAAGGGAGCGCTCTTCAGAGGTGGAATCTGAGAGACATGCCACTTCCTCTTCCACCAGCTCTGAAACAAACACATATAAAATTTGTAAATCAGAACTATACATATTAAAATCATTGAATCAGAATAAATAAAAATGCAAAAGTTTAAATTAAACTGAAAGTGACAAATTATACTAATAAAATTGGTTTTAACCCTTAGCTTTGTATATTTATTATTAAATAACATCAAACCTTTGATGAAAAAACTCTTGGAATCTTAAGAAGTATATTTTTTAAAAGCAATTTTGTGCTATTGCTGATTTAGATATGGAGGGGATGATTGTTTTGCATGTGTAAGGGCAGTTTTACTCTACAAAAAGCATATCTCAAGACAATTTATTAAATACGGATTCAATCCATCATTAAAATAGGCAGGCCACAATGATATTATAATAACGAGTGTTAGCATGACCTTCAAACGTTTGGAGTATCTGTGTGACGTTGTATGAGTGTGTGTGTAGGTGGATGAACTGGGTGCATGTGTAGAAAAAAAGTGTGTGTCGGTTAAATGGATGCATGTGAGAGCAAGTTTGTCACCTGGAGAGGTACATTTGTAACTGTAGAGAGAAGCACTGATGAGCCCCAAAGGTCAGACTGATAGTCCCGGCTGCAAAAGGCCAAAGCTACCTCAGGCAGCCAGACATGAAGAAACCCCCCAGGGCAGATACATCCCCCACAAATAAGTAGGTGTCTAGCCAGGACCAGGAGCATCAGGCCACAGGCCAAAGGAGCACAGAGTGAGATGCAGCAGGGCACCAATTCCCCTGACCCAACCATGCCAGCCTCGCCACACAGATTGAGGTAGGAGGTGCTTATTACACCCTGGTGGCCATTTCATGAGAGGTTAAGTGGAAGGGATTCCTGTCAGAACCCAGAACCCAAGTCCTTATTCCAGCCAACCTGTATAGACACCCCTTTACCTTGCATAAAACACCTGGAGTCACAGTAGGCGCACAGGGATCCACCCCAAATTCAGGCATGATAGATAAAGGAAACATTTGCCTCCAGCCAAGTGCCTCACTGGCCATGGCAGCATTACCCCCTCCCTGTTTCCCAAATCTCAGTTTCTTTGTACAAAATAACTGAAACAACAAAAAATAAATGTTTCTCTAACAAATGAAATACAGGAATCTTAATTAAGGAATAATGCTAAATTGTAGATGTATTTTTTTCATAATGTAGAGGCTCACTATCAAGCCATTCCTTTTTCTCTTTAAAGCCCACAAACGACTGAAGAGCAGATAATTTCTGAAAAATGAAGATCAATGCAGAGAGATGAGTAGGAAAAAATACCTGGAGAAGAGACTCTAAGGTTGTGAAGAAATGGATATTTCAAAAGAAGATGAGTTTTTAAGGTGAAAATAGTCAAAGTCTCATATTGATGGTAAAAGTTGAGTTAAATCACATGATGCAAGAACAGTGAGGATAGAAAATAACTTACAGTAAATGATCCTTTCAGCTTGAACATCGGATAGAATATTTATTCTTACTTAATGGATGGAAAGAAGACAGGCTGAAACAATGTTCATTTCTGGATCAGTTTTGATAAACTATCAGATTTCATTTATAGAGCATTCTGTATCTCTAAGTATTATGTTCAAAGAGCAACTTCTGAAAATTAGACGTTTATAATGTTTGTGCTCATTTTACTGCCATCTGCAACAACATGAGATAATACGGCTGAGTTTTAGTCTAGTTTCTTCATATTTTTCTTTCTGAGCCAGATTAAAAAAAACATGTCAAGGCAGAACAGATTCCTTAAAAAGTTCCTCTGCAGAAGGTATTGGTGATGCATTTGGATTGAGAGGAAAAGTTTTTGAAAGTTGTGTGTTTTAGGCTATCTGCAAAGCAAAAACCAAAGCTCTTACTTCAAATGCAAACCTGACATTTTGTGTGGGCAGAAAAGTCAACTTAAATTTCATGTGGAGAAATCTACGTGATTTCTTTGGTTACCTTTGACTTGCATGCCAACAGAGGTGCATCTCAAATAAATGGCTGCTTACAAAACAGCACGATCCCTGACACTGCTTTTCTTTGCAGTTATTTGGCAGGCTGTAGCCTTTCAAACCACCTGATTGGTCCTGAGTGATTGTTTGTCAGAGAAGTGTCAAAAGGGCACAGCAAGCACTTGGGTATCACAATGAGTTGACATGTAGCTGTTAAAACCGTCTACGACACGGTCTGTTGAACCCGGGCAGAGACAGGTACATTGCTCTTCCAGGTGCTTTAATCTCACAGCAATATAATGCCCGGTTTCATATAATTGGTCCAAGTGTGAGAGAGAAAGGCAGATGATGCGAAAATTCCTAAAGTCCAAAAACTATTTTTTTAATGGAAATTAAAATGGCATATATAGAAATAAAAAGTTGCAACTTTGCTTATGTTATCATCTGGAATAGGATAAAAGTAACAGACAAGAAAAGTGACTCTTTGAATGCAAGTAATGCATTTTAAAACAATTTCACTGCAATTATATAGGTAAAGCCTTAAGGACATCCCTGTTTTCCCATTCTTCAGCAATTAGTGATCAGTGAACATCCATCAGACAAAATGCCTCCATAGATGCTCAGTTGGAATAGCCTCTCAGTTTGGCTAGTCTAGACTGTGAGGTTGGATTAAGCTCAACTGGATCAAAACAATAAAAAAAATGTCAGGGGTCTCATTTATAAAGTTTGTGTACACACAAAATGAGGCATGAACATTGCATACCAAAAAAAGTAAAAAAACAATCCACTGGACTTTGTTTCCAAGTTTGAAGACGTTTCCTTTCCTAACCAGGAAGCTTATTCAATTAAAAGTGTCAGAGATAGAGTTAAGTTTGAGGCTTTTTAGAGTGGACCAAAAACATAAACATCCCTAGAGCCTAGAACTTAATGCTATTTCTGACACTTTGAATTGAAAAAGCTTCCTGGATGGGAAATGAAACATCTTTAAACTTGGAAACAAAGTCTAGTGGATTGTTATTTTTTACTTTTTTTTTGGAATGACTATGAACTGGATGACTGAGAATCTGCACATAAACACAAAGTGTGAAAGTATGCAATGTGTTGGTCTTCATGCAAATTCTGAGCAAATCGGTACAGTACACATATTTTGGAGAGAGGGGAAATTGCCGACACAAATGGTGACTGATGTAGGGAACTGAAGCCAAACTGCATCATCATTTCTTTAGGGCATGTCATGATCACAGCTCTGAGGACTGGCCTAATTGCTCATTTCATTCACCTGCCTAACTCTGCCCAGATTCCAATTTCCACTCATCTAATCAACCTGCTTCTGCTTCTATATAAACAATGTGATGTTGATGCTCTAGTTCATGCTCTCTTTTTCGGGGGCCAATGGTGAGAGAGGTTTTTTATTTTTTATGTTTCATAATATTCCTGATATCCTGATGCTGATCTGCCTCTTATCCACTGAGCGTGCCCTGTTCCTGTCTTAGCTCTGTGGAGAGAGTTTTTATTTAGCATTCCATACTGTCCCTGTTATGCTGATCTTTTCTGCCTCCCAACCCTTGAGCCTGCCCTGTTCCCATCTGAATGTTCTGCCTGAGCTCTCTTTGGACTCCAGGAATCCTGAACTAGCCTATCCCTGTTCTGATCAGTTTCCCTGACCTGGCTCAAACTCCTGCTTGCTCTCCGGGTCTGCAGCATTGGTGGTGCCCACCGCATCTAGTTGGTAGCTTGATAGTTTGATCCTAAAACGTTCTACAGAGATGGACTTAACTGATAAACCAGGTAAGTGACTCACATGCATAATCGTCCTCCATCAGATTATCATGGTCACTTACCTGTGTTTTTCTCCACCAGAATTTCCAGTCATGGCCGGTGCCCCGCCCCAGCCCCAGCCATGGCAAATCGGCATCAGAATTTGAATAAATGCTTTGAATTATTCCACTGTCTGTCTAGTCTTGAATACTGGGTCCTTCTGTCCTGTTTTATGACAGGGCATTCAATTTCACTTCATAAGAAACTTTAATTATTGATTGACTTTATCAGATCACATCCCTTACTGTGATATATGCTGGCACAGACAGGTACAATCATGAATAATAAATCATATAAAAGTTTGCTCATATTTAGCTGTTTCCATGATCATATACATGTGACAAGGTGGGATGACTTCAGATGAATTGCAGTAAACATTTGAATTTTGCCGATCCACCAATTTGTAATGGTGCTCGATGGATGTTTCAACTAGGCCGGACATTTTGGAAATAGGAAACAAATTTCCAGGGATTAGGAATGTTTCCTGACTCAGGATGATCAGCTGATCAGAATTCATACAGTTGCTCAACGACCCACCAGACCCATGCCATCCCTGTTGATAAGTGAGAAACAAGAGGAAGTCTGTGTGCCTCATTTTGATGTAAAGAATGAATGTAAATAAAATTTGTGGCACGTATGGAATTTATAATATATCAATAAATGAAAGATATAAAACGTGTATGTTCAACATGGGTGAAAATAGATGAGGTTTAATGTTGCGGTGTGTATATTAAACATCCAAAGTATTCGATGAAAGATTAGGAAATAACTAAATAAAATAAGCTGTAGCCTAAACATGTACATTCTGCCCATATCAAATCTTTTACATAGGTGTCCTGCCTTTCTCTGCATCTAATTTTAGGAACAAAATAATTCTGTGAATTTATCTATAACTCTGAAATAATACAGTAAGTAATAAGCTAATATGCATGGATGTACTTATTATGATCAATCCACATCAGAATTTGAAGGTGTCATAAATAATGCTTCCTTTAATCAACTGCTACTACCAACATGTTTATCTAAACTTCAAACACCTCGGTTAAACTGAGATTTTTCTGTTATCTTGGCTGCCATTAACTAGCATTGATCCTTTTAATACACAGTGACATCCATACAGTGCTTTGCTTGAACCATTTATGCTTGAATGCGGGCAGAACAAGAGGTAGAGCCTTGAATGCAAACTTTGAGGCACATCTCTGAATTATAATAAGTATATAAATATATATAAATATATATATATATATATATATATATATATATATATATATATATATATATATATATATATATATATATGTGCAAAGAATCCTTTGTCATTATAGAACAAATCTTAGAACTTAACCTTGGTAAGATAAAAGCTTGTCATAAAGCAACTTCAGCCTTAAGAGAGCTTCATTGTGAAAGAATGTTACATGTAGTGAGCAAGATTTTATTAAGCCTTAAGCAGAGACTGTGGTGGAAATGGAAAGAGCTGATTGGCTGATCCACCACCCAGACAGCATATAAAGTTATTTAGCAATCATCCAATTATATGGAAATGAGATCATCTTTGATATCTCTAGAGGGGAAAATTAATCAGTTTCAGCAGCCGGATGAATTAAAAGAGTGCTCCTAGTAATACAGTTTTATCCGGGATAAATAATAATATGAAAATATTTGAATAACTATAAATTAAAAGTGGAAAAATGTGATATAGTATAAAATAAAGGAATTAAAGACTGTGAAATGCTGATAAATATTTTTAATGAATTCTAAGAAAAAAAATATATAAATACATTCTAGCTATGATTAGCAGAATATTGACTCTTTATATAGAAGAAAGATTTAAATGAGTTGAGAAAGTATTTGCTGTTTAGTGCATGATGATGTTAGTATCCATATCATGTAAAGATTTTCCTGTGATGCCAACTATTTGCTGCTGTGCAGGTGACTGTATTTTAATATCAAATAGATGAAATAGTAAAGTGATCAGTGAGACAAATAAACATGGTAATAGACAAATCAAATATTAGTGGGAATGTAAATAAGGTAAGCTCAAACATTTTGATTTTCTATTAAAGTGATTTAACCTCATCAAGTTTCATCATCATGACATTCCTAAATCTAGTCTGAACTTTGATTACTAGGATTCGATTTGTGATTATTTTTTTTTCTTATGTTTATTTGTTTCTTGAATCAACCAGCATCACATCAAGCAACAGGGTCAACCACAGCTCCTCACTGAGATTGGAATGACTGTCAGGTCCTTATTTTAAGTAGCTCTGAGCGAGAACCTGAATAAATCTTAAGCAAAGTTATGAGAACTCTGAGGCGTCTGAGAAAGCTTATAAATACAGGCTCAGGTTCTACTGCTGTCCCAATGCTGTCTTACTTACCGAGGAGGAAGAATTCGCATATGGAGGATAATTAATTAATTTGAATAGAATCAATTCTATCTATAATGAATCCCGCACAGTTTTACAGTTGAGAGTTTATCAATAGATGGTTCAGAATAGCTAAAACAACAAGGATCATGCTTAGTCTCTTATATTGATGAAAACACTGCTCTAGCTTGGTGATATATACAGTGCATGTAAACATTTTCTGTAGGTCAGCATTTTTATACTAAAAAAAAAAAAAACAGTTATTAGTCTAAGAAGATATTTACATTTTTGAGCAACCATATTTTGTTGTTTCTCATGATCATAAGCATGATTGGAATAATTAAAAACACCTAAAACTTAAAATTTTGTTAACAATACCTTTTATTTATTTATTTCACCTTTTAAATCAAACTTCTGCAAAAAATCTGAATTTTCCTCCCATTCTAAATTATAGAGATGCACCTTTATTTACTACTGTCAGATGTAAACTGGAACCTTGTTCTAAAGCTTTGATTTTTTTTTCATAGTTTGTGGTGTAAATAAGTTACTACTGCAGTTTTAAATAGATTAGTAAAAACAGGACAGTAGATACTGACTCTGACATATAGACTTTAGTTTTCTTTTAACTCATTTGAGGTTTGATTAAAAGACACACATCTACATACACACTGCTGTGTCTGTAGATTATGTGTGCTGTCCGCTATTTCCCCTGCATTCACACAGCAGGGAAATAAACAAATAAAAGAACGTATTTCCTATTCTCACAGGATGAAATCAATGATTAATGAGCAGGAAGCTACAGCTTGAAACTGTGTAATTCGAACAACTGCTTGGACGAAGAATCGAAAGTATCTGACATCCACCTTTGCACTGAAATGCAACTAGATAATTTCATTGACAGAGAACCAGCTGAAATGTAGTCTTGTTGACAGGTTGAGCAGCTCAGTATCAATCCAAAATGGAACAATCTGACAATGTCTGAATGCTTCCCTGCATGTTCCAGACACTTTAGCTAACAAAAATCCCTTGAGGTGTGGATGCAAAAAAAGACATAACTAGATTGAAGAGAAAGTCTGGGATTATTTTACACAGACATATTTCAATAACTTTGATTTTTGACTTTTTTGCTATGAGGAAAAGTAGGGCAAGAACATAAAGCATCAGTTCTGCCTGCTTACTCTGACCATTCATACTTAAGTGCATATGAGACGTTACAAACATTAGCTAGATCGAATATGACATAATCACCAATTTGATGAGAGGGACTGGGGGTTAAATTACCATTTATTGCTTCAAATAAATTCAAGAGAAAAGTGAAATGAAGGGAAAGCAAAATAAAAATGGGATATTTTAAGCAGTCTAGCCTATTCAGGGTAGTTTTCTTTGATGTTTGTGATCAAAAGGCACACATCACTGTGAAATAAGCTCTTGCAGTGGAAATGGTGAAGCGGTGGTAGCACAATGAGTTCACGGCTTGTGTACTCTTTTACAGTACCTTTTCTGATCAAAAGGTGTGGGTTTATGTGAGCGGGTGCATCTGTGCGTGCAGGATACCACAGTCTTACCCTGCGGACTGGTAGCCCTCTGGGTCCTCTCAAGCTCAAATGCCCTCTGCCCCCACTCCTCCTCTCTCTCGTCTCTGTGCCTCTCCGGGCCCTTCTCTCTGGTTTCTTTGCCCTCCCATGACACTTTGTGGGCTGGACTGTGCTCTGGGCGATGGGCTGACGTCGAGGGGAGATTGGGCGCAACGCTACACACGGCAATGCCTCTTCTGTTGGCCACACCTCGAACATTAGCCATGTCTGAGAGGAAGCTACTCATCTGTAGAGACACAGGAAATAATGCAGAAAATACTAAGTAAAAAATTAATAATTTTGGTTGGAATGACCATAAATAATTTCAATCCTTTTTTGTCCGTCTCCCTGCCAGCTCACAGATTAGCTTCTCTAATTGGTTGATGCTTTTAGTTTGGTTCTGGGTTCTTTTTTTTTAATGCCTATACTAGCCAATAATATACTCTTGGAGTAAGTTTTAATAGACTAATAAAAGTTGATGAGTGTCTTCAGACTAGGAGATGATGTGACTTTGTGTCATTTGTTTTAAATCGTATTAAATCAGAGCATGATGTGATTCTTCTTGAAATATTTGAGTTTATTTCCTGCTGTCAGTATCTATTCAAGTGATTTCTTTATTCCACATGTAATGCAGCAATCAGCCTGGTTGCTTCTGGTAAAACGCAGCACAGCCCCATTTAAGGTGAGGTTAAACTAAGTTCTTTATGATCCTGTGAAGCTTCAATGATTTTTTAAATTAAAAGGATTATTTTTAAACTGCTTTTTGTGTTTGCTGGGATTATTTTTGTCTGCTTTTAAACTTTGTTTGATCATCTCAAACATATATGTGTGATGGATTAACAAAAGCACAAATCATTTGAAAGGAACCAAGTTTATTTTACAGTATTATATTTCAAGTTCACCTCATTGACTTTCTTTGCCTATAATTTTTGCAACCAAAAATCCCGTACTCAAATAGGTATCAAATAAATATTTTCTCCTGTTTATATAGAAAAAAAGGTAAAAAATCAAATATTTTAAAATGATCATACCTACTTTAAAAACTGAATACAACACCAAGGTTTGAACCGACATTAGGCTACTACTATCAGGCAGACCCTGTTTCTCCTAATAACTTTTATAAAACCTTTAACAGCATATGATATGAAAATTAATCACAGAATAATAGCACTATCAAAACTACTTAAACAACCTAAAACAATCTATAAGGAATTGTGTTAGCTAACATTCAGCAAATATTCAGTGTATCTTTGTTTTTGTTATTTTCTTTATGAAATAAAACTTCAAAGGCATGTAAATAATTATATGAGCCTGGATTTGCAGTGATGATAACAAATCTAAAATTTGCCATTAAAAACGATTTGTTTGTATAATAATAAAAGTAGTTCCTCAAAGCTCAGTTTAATGCTCTTCAACATTTAAACATATACTGCGGGTGAAATAAGTATTGAACACCCCACCATTATTCTCAGTAAATATATTTCTACCAACGTCTGGTGAAAATGTCAATAGCAAAACTAGAAATATATTTACTAAAAAAAATAGTGGCATGTTCAGTACTTATTTTACCTGCTGTATGAGAATATGTCTGCTGCTAAAGCACACATATAAGGTTGACATCTTATATGTTATCTATTTCCTCAGGCAGTTCATTAGTCTCAAACTAAATTTGATTTTCCATTAGATTTTAACTTGAGGTATATTTTAAAGTACATAAAAGTGAAATAAAAATGCCCAAATAGAGCTTCTGCATCATGTTGCGTGTTTTCAACCTACCCCAAACTATATTAATCTTAATTCCTGCCTCAGATATTTTGTCCTCAGGCAAAGGTGCAATCTGAGTGCCAAATTATAAAGTGGTATATAAATGGTACAAAAGCTGTATATACCAGCAGATAAAACAGTTTTTAAAAGAAGGACTTTGAACTATTTTCTACTAATTTCTTTCTTTAACAGCAAAGTCTTTAACTTAATGCACTTATTTTCCAAAGGTGAATGTATGAAAATCCAAGTTTTTATTAGGGCAAACACAGGTGTACAATGTGCGGCGGTAAACATCTGTTGCTTGCAACCATAGAAGAAGCAGAGTTCTGCAATTTATTAAGTCAGACTTCTGCATGCTCTTGCTAGGCAAGTGCTAAGCATTTTAGCTATCCACTACTTAGAGGTATACAGCCGAACAAAACACAACTAAGGCAAATATTTGGATTTATGACTGCTTACTATTTTTTCCGGCAAAAATTGTGGTAAGACCATATCATACCTAAAAAGTTTAATTTCATTACTGCAAAAGATTTAATGTCAATAAAACCAGACCACAACATTCAGTGCCTCTGAGGGGCATTTCATAAAGCTCAACTTTTACAAATGGCATAAGCAGTGGCCACTCTACACTGGTGGTAAAGCCTGAATTTCTGCTTTAAATATTAAACTTGGTTTGTTTCATGTTAAAGTGAAGTAATAACGACGAAATGAATGCTCTGCAGTCCAATTAATCTGCTTGATAAACTGCTTAAACTACTGAAGTGGGAATTAATTTCTTAATGTTTTCTGTTCCATCATGCTCATATTAAAGGAGTCCCCCAAGGATGTCTTCTAAATGAGATCGTCTATCTCAGCGAGACAATCTGTTTGAACAAAGGTTAAATAATAAAAAAGCAGGGTATTATGCCCTTTAAAACAATCTAACATTGAAGAATATTTCAAGAACTAAAATGTACTTTTATGAAAGATACCCCATCATTTGTTCATATTACTTTAATCTGAGGGTGGCTAATGAGAAACATTCAACTACATTTCAGTTACAGCATGCATGACTGTATGGCAATGTTTCAGTTATTAAGGTGAATAGAACAAAATCAGATCTATGATATAATACAGTACATTCACTCAAACATCTTTATTGAGTGGGTTAAATCTGCACCAATACACCAGGACTGTCTTCTCTGCTTGAGGGTCATATATGTTCTGTGGGGTGGATCTGTATTATTCAGAATTCTTTTCAGACAATGGCAAACTGATTGGAGCTTCTTTTGTTTTTTGTTTTTTTTTAACCCAGAGTTCCTTTGGTACATTTTTTTCAAGCTATTGTTGAACTTATGCCAAGGAATAATCAGAGCAAAGAGCTTAATGGTTTGTTTTTCTTTGAGAGAATGATTAAATTTCTTATAAAGTCATGCTTTAAGCTTGTATTTCTGTAAATGCATAATCTTAAGTAGGTCTCCTTAAAAAAAAACTTTAATCTCAGGGGACTTCTTTCCAAAAAAAGGTAAAATACTTAAATAAATTAAACAATAAAGGATCTAACAGAATGTCTTTGAATGTGATTAAGAAAAAAAAAAACACCTTAAAGCCTAAGGTTATATGAAAAAGAAAACTGCTCACTTAGACATGCCCATATACACTTATGCACACCTGACTGCTTTCACTGGATGTGGTCCTGTCGGTCCCTGGGAGGATGGAATGGGCAGTGGGACGCACCATGACTTGGGGAGGACCTCCGCTGTAGCCTCCCACCTCCCCATAGGTGCCCGTGGTCACCTGTGAGCCAGGCACACGCACAGCTTTGAACTCAATTCCCTCAACCCCCGTTCCAGTCTTGTGTAGCATGTAGCTAGCTTCTGTGGAAACATTGGAGACGCCCAGAGCAGCCTGAGTCCCTTGACCTGGGTCAGACTCTTTCCGGAATTTGATTTTCTTCCTGAAGGCAACGAAGAGTATGAGGAGGAAAATGATGACAAAGGCAAGCACTCCGATGCCTATTAATTCCCCTGGTCCAACATAAGACAGCGGCTCAGCCTGCAAAACATTAAAAAGAAATAGAATCACTAAAACTTGGACTCAGCATCTCTTATTCAAAGTATAAAAAAAACGTACACCATTACTGCCTGCTGGAAGCAGAGAATGTCAAGGGGAAGAATTCACTTCTGGTGATAAAATATCCAATGCATCCAACAAGGCTGCAACCGTTGAGATGATTGAACTACTGTACAGTAAAAGTATAAAAGTTGAAATAAATTTTTCTCCCTTTGAGTTTGGGAAGTTTACAGTTTTTCCCCTTGGACTGAGTCAAGCATTCAGTTGAAGGAAATATAAATTAAATTTCCATCATTGAAATCTGAGCAAATGAGCAGTGTGAATAAACTCAACTTGTCAAAAGGAACCCACTAAAACACAGACGATTTATAGTTATTTTTACATTTTAAAACTTTGAATGTGAAATTAAAAAGATATTGGCTTTTATTCATCTGAAAATATATGTAGATAATGCAGATAACTATACTGGAATATTATCTGCCCTCTGGTAGATTATGACAGAAACACCTATCCTTGTATCACACTGGGATGATAAAGATCAGTGGCACTTTTTTCTCATTCAATGAAATATGCAATGTGGAAACTCAGTTAAAGATTAGTCTATTATTCTGCAGTATGTCTAAGACTTTATTCAGTGCAGACAAAGTGTAATGCATGATTGTTGAACTAGTCATCATATTTGATTACTTTTCTTCTTTTTATGGCCCTATCATAAAATCCAAAATGCCTTGTGAATAGTTTGCAGTACTGCTGCATGGTGCCTACATAAATATTTCAGATGTCTAAAAAATGTTGTAAATTCAACTTTGAATGAATGAATTTCATTACATTAATACAAAAAAACTGATTTTTAGGTGTTTTATATTGCTCTCAATGAAAAGACTCATGAAAAGATTCAAGATAAACACAGATTTTTCATCCTCTGTGCAACACCTACCTCTGAGTTCTGATTCATCCATGTGAACACTTGTCATTGTCATGCTGAACATGAGTCTCTAATTTAATTTATTTCCAAAAATTAAAAAGATACATCCCTCTGCTTACGAGGTACCAAAGCTGTCTGATGTTGTGAGAGATGAATTGAACAAGGACAATACATCTTGTGAAAATTATGATTGTGTTAAGATCTTTGAAGAATACCTTTCTAAGAACAGAGCAGAATTTTACCAGGTTTATCACAGTGAGATCAAAAGATCTTTCACGCAAGACACAGTCGGCCAAGAGTGACATTTTAGTTTCTGATTTGGAAAAAAACAATTTTTCCAAGAAATAAAACACTGTAATTATAAAGATCAGACTCAGCCTGGCAAGATGTGAATAAGCTCAATGATGTCCCTCTCAGCAACTGCCCAGACAATTTCCAATTATTATTATAATGCCTGAAAATTGCCAAAATGAATAAGTTTTTTATTTATTTTTCTGCAATGAAAATATTTTTTTTTGCACAGATGATGCCAATTTGTATTTAGCTTTGTGGTCACAACTGTTAGGGAACATTGTTGAAAGATTGAGGTCATAGAACAATCCTGGAAGGAGGCACTTTTATCTGGATCTAACCCAATGAGTCAGGACAAAGTAAAAGATGGATGCAGAAATACAGAGAACAATTCAAGATTAAAAACCTCTGCTTAAAAGAAGAAACCAGTGTGTGGTATTTACTTTCCCGGGTACACTGACAGGAATAATCCCACAGAGTAAACACAGGAAATGTTTCATGAATAGGGGAAAGGAGCCTTGCAGGTGTCTCGACATGAAATAAATCAAAAGACTTAATATGAGGAAAAACTTGGATCCTATTGTCACATTAAAAACAGAGCGTGTGTGAACACCAATTTTCTAGCTTGGCAATATCCAAATCTAAATTCACTATAACTAAAGTCTGGACTTTGACTGGTCCATTCCATCATAAACATACTTTGATCTAAATTATCTCATTAAGGCTCTGGCTGCAGGTTTAGGGTCATGATCTGATTGGAAGATTTAAAAAAAAAAAAACATCTGAGTCGCTAATCTCTTCCATTGTGTTGATTTAGCTAACACACTCAACCATCGAATCTGAACAGCTTTTCTGTCTTCACACAGCTTGATGCTTCTACCGCTATGTTTCATAATTGTGTATTTAGGGGGATCTGTGCCTTCCAGGCAAATGCAGGGTTTTACATCTCAGTCAAAAACTCACATTTTTCTAATACGTAAAGGAGACTTCCTTTGGATATTTTTTTAGCAATAGTTGTTTTGTTCCCATTCTTTCAAACAGCCCAGATCTGTGGATTGTATGTGGATTGACAGTTTCTCCCATCTGAGTTGTGGATCACTCTCGCTTCTGTGAGAGTTACCTTGGGCATTTTGGCTACGTTCTGATTAATGCTCCTCCTGTCCAGCCGGTCATTATAGGCAGATCTCTATGTCCCAGCAGGTTTGCAGTTCTGCCGTACTGTTTCAATTTATGGATTATTGATTTAAGGTTTCTCCAAAAGATGCTGAAAGGTTGAGATATTGATTTATATCCTAAACCTGCTTTGAACTACTCCACAATTTGCTGTCTGGTAGGCTTCCTTGATCTTTAGGATATTGTTTGTTCATGAATTTTCTCTAACAAACCTTTAAGGCCTTCTGAGAACAGCTCCATTGATAATAATAATATAAATAGATACAACAAAATTTTGGGATGGAAGGTGATAAAATGTGAAAAAGGTTCTAAGTTCTAGGATCTTGCAGAAAGCAGCACTTGTGTATGAGGTCCTCTTGGATAATTTAATAGGTTTTCTTTTTAAATTAATGGACAATCTATGCAATTGATATATTAGAGCAGTGTCTTCTATATTAGGGAAGCAGTTTTAGAAAGCAGCTTGGTAGCTTTGTTTCACTTCATGATTAATAAAAACAAAGTGGCAATGAGAGGAAGGAAAGATAAACCACACCAATTTTAAGATGAGTCTAACACTTTCATTCTGACGAAGGAAACTTGAAAGCGTCTTAAAACTGCACCAGAAGGTACACAGTGTAATGCATAATAAAAGTCACAAGCATGGAAAACTTCAAATGAAAGCTGTGATTCACCCATTACCACACTTTATCTCATTCAGTGCGAAGACAAGGATGCAAAGCCCTCCAGGTGGTTATATTTCACAAAACTCCCGGCAGTTTCACCGCGTCTCCAAAGTATAATTAGATGAATAACTGTGCTATTTTCTCCAGGATTTATTCCTCGTTTAATTCCACTTTGTGCCTGGTTAAAAGTTTACCTGTGTGTCGCCCTCTGGGCCCTGATCATCACAAAACTGCTCTTCGTATCCGTCTGAGCAGTTGCAATAGAATGAACCAAAGGTGTTAATACACTCTCCTCTGTTTCCGCAGATTTCCTCCTCGCATTCATTTACATCCATGTCACACCTGTCAGACAAGTAATATACATTTTAACATGCATGAAAAGTTCAAATGGGGATTTAATTTTTATTTAGAAAATACAAAATGGTGTTAAACGATAATATACTGTATTTTTATATATTTTAACTAAACGTCTAAATAAAAGCGACTATAAACTAGATATGGGGGAATAAATAGATAATGATTAACAAATGGAAAAATAAAAAAAAAAATCAAAATCCTTTCTTCTTTTTTGATTCTTAATTAGACATCTCAAATGCTTAAATCAAATTCCACAGTCGTTATTGCTTTCCCATTATGTCTAGAGAAAATTACTTCTCTCAAACCAAAGGTTGATCTCTCTAAATGTTCTTTTGATCTGATTTCATTAGGTTAAAAAACAAGAGACATTTCACAGAAATTCAGCAAAGGATAAATGCCTTCCAAAATAATCGTGTAATTTCATCCTCTGCAAGCTCTCGTGTTCGTCTTAGCTTTATATATCAAACACAGTGTCCCACTGTGAAGGAGAGAAGAAATGCATGCTTTTTTTTTCTTTTCAATTATTTTTTTTCCTTGATGGGATTTTTCAAAACGCTTTACTACAGTTTTTTTTTTCTTCGTTTTTTTGGACCAAAGCAAAAACATTTCTGAAGAAGCCTTATTGTGAAACTAAGCAAAGTTTTCTTTAAATGATACTGCAAAAGTGCAGGAAGTCATTTAGTTTATAAAGTTTTATTCCTTAAGGATCAGATCTGCTGGTCAGTAAAATCTTCTCATACATATTTTGAATAATGAATATGTTATGGCCTAATTAAAAACAGAAAAGCTCAGACTGTCTGTCAGTTGAGTTTTTTCATTCAGTGTATATGAAATGTCCAAATGTGACTTTTTAATTTGTTGTTACTGATGGTTATTAATTACAAAATGAAGTTTCTGCTTAGGACTTTTGTAGGCACAACATACAAACAGCTGTGGTAAAGCAGTCTGCATGCACTCATGTAGTCTGCAAAGGGTCACAATTATAAATAATTCTAATAAACCCTCTTAAACCACCACTAATATTTAGCTACACAGGCCTTAGTTGCAACTCAGTAAGACACTTTGTATTGCAATCAGGAAGCTTATGCAATAACCAAAGATGGAAATTTGGCCAGTCTTCCTGAAATAGAAAGTTTTCCTTTGGTTTGTGTAATGATAATAAAAACATGTCAGCATCCGTTTAAATAAATCATTTATGTGTAGACATTTTTTTTACAAAGCTTCAACCCCAAACCTACTGAGAGTTAGTTAAATATCAAAGAGCCAGAGTTCAGACCATGAAAAAACATTTTCAAAGAACATCAACAACAGGGACTGTTATGACGGCTATAAAAAGTTTTTTTTTATGATACACAACTTACTAGTTGACATTTTCCCAAATATAAGAGAAGCTTCTTAGCCTAATTTTGGCCACATATCGGATGGTTGTTTGAGTAAATTCAAAGTACATATATTTTTTTATTTACAAAAGTTGTATAAATCCCCCTAATAAATAATTAAATGTCCAAAGCTTGAAAGTGCATGTATACTTTTATTTGCAATCTTGAAAAGTGTTTTATTAATTTCAGCTTTAGCAGACAAACTTCTATTGATATGCCATTAACTCTTCATTTGATGGAAAACTGCCCTCTAGTGGTGAGTCCCTTTAACAACCATAAGAGTGCAGAGGTTATTTCAAAGGCAATTACAGAGCAGTAATTAGGAAGGAGGCTACAGACAGATTACGGCTTTCCAAGCAAGAATGATCCAGAATTAAATTAGAACCTCCGATTTGTCTCTCACATCATTAAGATACAAACACATAGTGACTAATGGAGGAATCTGTGCATGTTTTGTGGGGCTGGACTCTAACACATGGCATTTTATTCTTAAAAGATGCATCTACCACTCAGAGTGTAAGTGTTTGAACAGTCTCTAAGTGGGGCACACTAATAATCAACACCTTCTACAGTCTACTGTTAAGCCTGTTGTGTTATTAAAGTGTTTATAATGCTTCTTTTATCTTACACTAATCCTGTGAGGCCTCTCGGACAGCCGCAGAGGAATGCATTGCCAGCAGCCTTGCATTTTCCACCATTCTGGCAAGGGTTTGGCATACAGGACGTTAGTTCAACTTCACAGCGCCCCCCAGTGAATCCACTGCTGCAACTGCACATGAAGCCTGTTCATAAAGATTCGACAACAACAAAAAGACATTGATACAGAGTCATTCTACAAATAATGATTAAATTCTTTTTATGTTTATATTATTAGGGATTTGTTAAAAAAAAGTTAAATTCCTTTTACAAGGATATAAACTGTAGGGATAAGTATGCCCTGTATTATAAGGGTTTATTTAGGTCAATTTTGATGAGAAATACATGTTATACTTGACTAACAAAACAAGGATTTCATTTCAGAATGTTTTAACATTAATGGACCCAAGGCTTTTTAGGGCTGCTTTTGCATGGACTACCGTATTTTATCAAAGCAAGGGAATCTGACCGTGGCCCCATGAGGCGTTAAGAAAGCCCAGGTTGCTTTAATAGAAGCCTACAAGGCTGCCTCCATTCCTGATGCCTCTGAACATCACTCCAAACAGCCAGTTTAACAACAGTCTTACACATTGTTGTTCAGGCAATTACCACACAATGTCCATATAAAAACAATGTTGAATATTGTAATAATTGTAATTTGGAAAAAGCCACATTAATAGTGACAGAAACATATGCTTAAAGCTATTTAATCCTGTATATAAGAACAATATATGTATTTCACTTGAGTGACTTACTTAAATAAATGAACTTCTGCATAAAATCTAACTTGTAGAGATTTGTTTCTATATAAATAGATGTTTTTTTTTTTTTTTTTATAAACAGTAAATACAAAACAATTAGACTGACACATCTGTATGCATACAGACCTCCAAATGGCAGGCTGCTGCAGATGGCTCCATTGAGGCATGGCTGGCTGATGCAAGGATCTGGATAAAGAACGCAGCCCAGCTTGACCTCGCTGAGCCCGGCTATCTCAGCGTAACGGCTCCTCTTATTTTGGAGGGGCAGCTCGTTACCGTTAAGCATCAGTGACCCAAGGCACCCTTGGAAGCCATCCTGAGCCCTTGCTGGGACCCTAAATGAACGCTCTCCGAATTCTGGCCCTCCTTCCATGCTTTTCTCAGGCCCAAAGACAGGCCTTTCAACTGGCCTGTTCAGCAGTCTCACTTGTGCCCCAAAGAAAAGCAATGAATCAGGGGCTATTGGCCAGAGACGGACAGGGGCCTGTGCTGCTCTGCGACGTTCCACGTAACTGTTGTCCACCGACAAAAGGGTGTAGTTTCTGGTGAGCTCTAGAGCGACTGAATGCCAGAGACCATCATTTATTGGTCTGTCTGAGATACCCATAATTCCAAGAGTGTTGTCACAGTCCAACTGGAACCACAGTCGACCCCCTTCAATCTGGGAACATGACATTTCAGAATTTTAAACAGTTTACTGTTTGTAGAATTAGTACAAAAAGCTTTGAGGTATTTATCTTTTGTTCCATAAGAAGGAAACAAAAGAGTAAAGTGAAAGCGTACCTTTAACATGGTGCAAGGGTTAACACGAGTGAACATAATAACTCCTCTTCTTTGGAGTGTTCTAACCCTGAGGCCAAGTCTCATCTCTCCACTCTGCACCCTTTCTGTCACTCTGTACTTGATGTAGCTGTTTCCAGAGAAACTCAGAGATGTCGGACCTACTCAGTTACATCACATAAAGACAGAAGATCATTTTTCTTTAACAACAGCGGTAAAATAAAGAAAACTAATTTCTTATATTATTTACAATCAAGTGCCTCCGCTCTGAATAGAGGCGACTAAAAAACCAATAATAATTGAATGCTACCTGCACACTCATCCAATCTGTCAGGCTGACACTGGCAGACAGATGGCGTTGTTGGACCAGAAAGAACACACTGCATGTCGGCTGGACAGGACTGACCTTCACAAAGTTCCACAGGGGATGGACACGTCCCTCCTGTTTTGGAGAGGGGGCGAATTAGAGTAAATAACAACACAATGGAGCTATACTTTTATTTTATCAAGCAATGATGCATATTATTCAATCTTTAGAATGTATAGCGATAAAAATACTACTTTTAAGTCTACAAAACAAAATGTCTCAGAAAAGTTTGTGAAAGGCAAATAAGAATAAAACAAATGTATTTAAATAATCCCAATATATAAAATGTATCGGTTGCAGCAGCAGGAAATAAACAAAACACTGTAAATTCAATTTAGCAAGACCACAAAAAAATATATGCACAAATTATTACACCTCGAAGAACCAGTTGAGTTCCTTTTTAATGCACATAGTGCCTCAGCTAATTACATGGCGTCAACTAAATCTATGAAGGCGTTCAGATGTGATAGAGATAGCGCTGAAGTTTAAACTGATTATCGGCATGGGAGAAAGAAAGGGATTTAAGTGAGTTTCAAAACTGCTTGGTATTTGTTGCCAATGAGGAAATACAGAAAATGTTGACATAATTGGGTTTTTACACACATTTAAAGAAAATGGTTGATCCGAAACAAACAAAAATCTCCAGAGGGAAGCGACTGTGTGAATAAGAATGCTATGCTGGTCTCAGCTCAAACAATCAGTTTGAGTTGACAGAAAGAAGTAAATATCCACTAGTTAAAAAGGGTAAATGCAGAACACTGTTTCTGAATATAAAATATGTCAAACCTTAAAACAGCCAGAAGGCAGCAGCAGAAGACAGGATATCATGTTAGGTGGCAGTATTGACAGTTTAAAACAACTGAGTCAATCATTTGCACTAGCTAAACTAGAGTGCATCATAGTTATGTTACCTGCGTTATAATAATGCTACCATACTGTAAAACACTAGATCTATTTTAAAATTCAGACTGGTGGTGATGAGTCTCTTAGTATCAATTTAACATCTATTTTAGGATTACTACTGTTGTACATTTCTTTATGACCATAGTATACCCAACTTCTAAAGGCTACTTTCATCAAGATAACAAATCATGTGACAACATTAAAATCTTCCAAAAAAGTCATGAAAATAAAAATTGTCACCATAATCCAATAGCTTTCAAATTAACCATATACCAATAGAGCACATTTCCATACAGTGATTAGCAGATTTTTACAGTCTGTTTTGAACATGAAAAATCAGCTGCTTAAGAATATTATGCCAACATGAGACCAAATCTCAAAAAAAAATTTAAGGCAGTTTGCTATATATATGCAATTAAAAATTAAAGGTAGAGTGGAGGATATTTTTTTTCCAGGTGGATCATCAAAATAAGTATTCCTCCTTATTGTCAATCAATCTGGTGATATGTTTACGTAAGGCCCTCCTACGTGCTCGTCCTCATTTTTAATCACCGGTGGGGAGTCTGACATAGTGGAATAATTGCAAATCTTCATTTGGCAAGTAAGCTTGTATGAAATGCAAACAGCAACTTTTAAACAGAGAATGCACAAGGAGAAATGGTCCTGTGCATGCTCAAGCACGGGTTTAATAGACGTTCCTTCTTGGGAGCAGGTACAGGGTTGTATATTTTTTAGTGGATAATCTCTTCAAAAATTTGCAAAAATCCTTTTACAATACCTTTAAGAGAACTGTGAATGCATAAAAAAAAGAGTACTTTTAAGATGTTCTTATTAATCTGGCCAGTGAAGGTACAATTTTATTATTATTACAAAAAATAAAATTATAAATTTAGTAATATGAACATTTTGTAAGAATAAGTGTTGGTAAAAGTAAAACACTCACCTTGACAAGTGCAGGTCTCTGTGCGTCCGAACCTCGGCATCACCAAGCTGATCCTCTCCGTGTTGTAAGTAACAGGCAAACCACCCTCCATCACTAGTATGCTTTTACACACCCGATCCCCACAATCCAGTTTCCCAGAACAGGTGCTGTCTACCAAAACTGCTCCAGCCAGGGAGCCTCGAATCTGACCCCGAGCTGCTGCCTCCTCCAGCTTTGCTGCCAGCTCCTGCCGGGAGTAGAACCCCTCCATCCGTCCACTGCCTAACGTCTCAGGCCTCTCCACTGCTAGAACCAGATTGATGTCAGATGTCCCTGTCACAGGCTGCACACCAAGTATGTGAAGAGGATCCTGCTGCCCTGGCAACCATTTCCATCCGGCTATAGCCCGTAAAGTTACTTTAATCTGGTTAAGGTACCGTCCAAGTAATTCCTCCCATGAGATGGAGTTAAAACGAAATGTGAGTGCGCTGCGCAGCAAAACATCTGTCACCTGTTCAACCTGTACTGACACGTCAGCTATGACAGCAAAACGTCCATCACTCACTGTTGCGTTCATCTGGTACCTGAAAGAAGACAAGAACACAAAATAAATTTAATGTAAAGAAGTTTTTCTAGAGCGAACATTTCCCTGCTTGAAGTGTTGCGTTTGTGTGATAATCATGTACCTCCCGGGTTCCAAGCCTGGCAGAGCAACTACACTGCCATCTTGTCTGTTGATCTTGAACATGGCCTTTGGCTGAGGCTTATGGGTAAATGAAAGGACATCATTGGGGTCACGGTCGGTGGCATAAATCCGGCCGACTGGACCACCAGGAAAAGTATCCGTTGACATGATGATGTATATCTCCAGAGGGGAGACAATGGGCTTGTATTGACTGTTGCCGATGACTCTCAGAAAAACCCAGGAAGAAGAGGTAAGACTCGGCTTACCTGAGTCACTTGCCTATGGAACCAAAAGGGTACAACAAATTAGTGAGGAAATAAACATGTGCCTGCAGATACATAGAAACTAGTGAGGAAAGGATATCATTACTGCTGGATGAGAATTTAAACTAATTAACTAGATTACACAAACCATAATGTAATTCAGTCTACTGTTAAAGTCACATTTTCTATCATGTATGAAAAGACAATAACACATGCGGTTTTGCTGTTTAACATCACTGTTTGTAATAGCAACTCTAAACTGAAGTATCAAGAAAACTAAAATTAAAAAAAGCAATGAATTACTGTATACTTGAAATACAAGTGGTGGATAAATGCGTACTGAGACACGGGTCACCCTGTATGAATTGGCAGTTTATCACAGGGCAAAAAAAGGAAAAACAACCATGCATATAATCAGACTAATCTACCTCATATTGGAGAAAACCAAGGCGGTCTGGACTACAACAGCAGACCATCTTATTCTTATTTATCCAACAGATGAAGGAGTTCACCCTGCAACCAGCTCAAGCCCTTTTCCTTTTTTCAGTGTTGTTGTGTCGTATTCTGCAAGACACTTCACCCACATTGCTTTCTGATGGTGGTCAGAGGTGACTATGTACGCCCTATGTGAACCCCATAGCAGCTGTGGCTAATATGTGGCTTGCAATGAGTATGAAGTATGTATGAGTACTTGCAAAGTGTATGAATCTACCCTGAAGCGCTTCGGTCAAGTCTCCTGACTTAAAAAAGTCCTATATAAGTACAGGCCATTTACCATTCTAAGGCAACAGTGCCTCATCGTACAGCCCATCATACAGTAGGACATGTTTCCCAAGTTTCCATGGGTTAAGAATTTTTTTCATGGGGCATTTACAAGGTAAGCTGTCTTTTTATGTTGTTGTTAAAGTGGTAGCCTCTTCTTTACTGAGTTGCCTGTCACTCTTAGCGGAAGAGTGTTTCTTTTTAACTTGTATATAGGGAATAAACCTATCAGATGCTTACAAATCTAAATCATCATTTGGTCTTTTTTAGTTAGTTCAAGGAGATTTTAATCTTTGTCAAATTCTGATTTTATAATAAGTGATAAACAGTTCTCAAAACATATATTTGCCAGTATTTTTCTTTTAAGAAAAGAAAATCAGTCCAACTTAATGTGAAAGAGTTAAAGTATAACACGTATAACCGTATTAAGGATGTATTTACCCTGCCACATTTGGATCGCTTTAACAGGACCGGAGATTGTTTTCCCCTCATTGCTCAAGACTGTCTCTGCAGGTTAGAATAGGCTCAAGTGACTCATTGTTTGGACCAAACGATTGAACCTAGACCCACTTTTTAAGGTGGTCTCTGTCTGCTTCCAAATAAACTTGTGTTTGCTTCAGGTCTTAAAACTATCGCTGAGAGTACTATTTAGAAACATTTTTTGTTATATTGAGTGAAATGGTCCTTCCATCCTATGAGTGGTCAATACCTTATTTATTCAGAAAAGGGAACCAAAAAAAACTCAGACGTCTGTGAGAGCTGGAAGCCTGAAAAAAAGCCCAATCCCTGCCATTCGGCTGGGATGGAAAAAACCAATCAGATGCATTCACCTCTGTCCCTCCTCCTCCGCACTCATTAGGTTTGGCCATTGCTGAAATTATTCACAACACCCTTTGGCACCTTGTGAGGTTAATATTGCTAAAAATGACATGCTAAAAAATGTATGGTAAGTACTGCAAAACCTAGCATGGTGACTTGAAAGCCACAATAATAATATAGTGTATTTAGAAATGAATGAGGTGGTTAGGTTGAAGTCTAAAATGTAATGAAAGAAATGGCGCAGTCGGCTCCCCTTTGCTTTTCCAAGTTCTGCTGTGAGATGTGCATTGAGTTTTGGGGGACAATGTAGCTTTGAACAGAAGTGGGATGGGGACTGCTGTTTCCTAGCTCAAACATTCCCAACCACAGCTTTAATACAAATTGGCCTAAATCAGACCAGACTACAGAAAGCATGCTTTTTTTGAAGTTAGCAAGCCACCATAGCTGTAAAGGTAATATCAAAACTATTCCTGATCCACCATCTGTTGCTTGGCAACATTGCTGCCAGCATGCTGTGGATCTCCTTCAGCTTGTGTAAGGCATTCTCCAATGAAATAAAACAACTTAGAATCTGCATTGAATGATGCAACGATTTTGCAGCTGTTACAGCATATACAGTATATGCAAAAAAAAAAGTGTTTTAAGTAAGGAATCGTATAGTAATTTCATAAAATTTCAGTTCTGGTTCCCTCATGCCCAGGTCATTTCTGTTCAATCTGAGTGCAAACCGAAGCTGACAATAAAATAAATAAATAAAGCCTGCTATTTGTTGGGACCAAAAATTGGACTAAAGGACTTTATTGGTGTTAATGCAGCCTTAGTTTAAACTGTATCTGAACTTTCACTGCATCTGTCTAAATGGTGATTTCAGTTTTTTTCTTTTTTTAGTTATCATGGGTATTTTCTCAAGAACCTCAAGGTAAATAACAATCGGCAACAGGCTTTCTAGCCCTTACCTGTATTTCAAGTATGAATTCTCTGGGTGCTTCAGGACCAAACACACGGTTGGACTTGAGAGATCCAGTCTGCTCCAAACGGAAGAAACTACCTTCATTTCCTGCCACTATGCGAAACACAAAGGGAGCACCATTTCTCGGGGAGTCTTTGTCACTGACTGACAGCGTCAGCAGGGTGGTGCCTGCAGCCTGGTTGAGCTGAAAGTACAATGATGATTTTGAGTGTCAAAGCAAAAGAAGGCTAAAAAGAGGACACTTGTTCCCAGACCAACCTGTATTACAGCTGTGGAGTTGGGGGGAGTGAAGATAGGGGGGTTGTCGTTTACATCAGAGATGTCAATGTTAACAGTGACGGTGGAGGACATAGCAGGGGAGCCACTGTCAAATGCCTGCACAGATAAAGTGTACTTGGATACCTAGAGGATGAACAGAAACATAAAAGACTTCATTAGAATGGTGTTTATTTAATGAAATTCAATTTTCATAAAATAGACAATAACATTTTATGAAACTCAAATTAGTTGTACACAATTTACTGTACACTCCGTATGTATTGGTATTGATGGTTTTTGGTACATTAAATCTCACTTTAAACATCACACTAATCAAACCATTTTATTAGTTAATACATTCTGACTGTAAGACACAGTGGCATTTTTCCTGACATACACCAGTTGTTGCGTTGACATCTAATGGTTGGTAATGACACTTTGACTTTGAGATGTCTTCACATGATGCCTGGCCCATATGGCATGTATTCAAGTCTTTACATTTTGAAAAGAGCCTAGAGAGAAGTGGCCACCATGCACATTTATAATTCAAATACAAATAGGACAGAATGGATTAGAAACTGAACAAAGGCACTCTGAAGTGTAACTAGAAAAAATACATACATATTTATACGGTGGTTCAAGAAGAAATATATTTATTTCAAGGCTTTGTGCACATCTTTACCAAGGACACTAAGGAAGATCAAAAGTGCTGCATGTAAAAAAGAATCCTTACTAGTTCTCTGTCAAGTCTCTTATTGACTTTAAGTAATCCTGTCACAGGATCAATCCAGAAGTGGTTGGTTCGATCACCTTTCAGAATTGAGTAGGTAATTCGTCCATTGACTTGGCTGTCCAGATCTTCTGCAAACACCTTCACAACACATGTCCATGGAAAGGGAGTTAGCTCAAATGATGAATGGATGTGAAAAACAAATAAGGAAGGATTATGTTACCCTTGTAACTGTCTGCCCAATAGATGCATCCTCACTAATCAGAACATTATAGATGTCCTGATCAAACATAGGAGCATTGTCATTGACATCCATTAGTTCGATGACAATCATTGTGGCAGTGCTAAGAGGAGGGTTCCCATTGTCCCAGGCCTCGACAGTGATGTAGTAATCCTTGCATACCTCAAAGTCCAAGTCATCTGCAACTGAAATTGCACCTGAAAATACATATAATGAGGTTAATTAAACATATCAATGACTTTTTTTAGCAGTATTTAGTCTCAGCAAAAAATGGAAAGGTAAGGCAGGTTTTCTGTATAGCACATTTTAGTAGCAAGACATTTCAAATTGCTGTACATGACAAAAAAAATGGTAGGATACGTACATTGCAGTAACATTAAGGTAACTAAATGAATTAATGAACATGAATACATAAAGACAACATATTGATAAAAATGAATCTTATGAACATAAAAGGAAAGTCGGACTGCAAACAAAACTAATATGTTTAAATAGCATAGTCAAATGCAACTCTAAACAATTGAGTTTTTAATCTGGATTCAAAGCAATTTAGGGTTTGATAGACTGACAGAAAGTCTGTAAAGTCTTTTGATGCCAATCCAGAGTTATTAATAGACTAACAGAAGTATTTTAAAGTCTGTTTTCTGAGATATGGGGTCTTGATGTGCCTCTGAAGATTCTAAATCAAGATTTCTAGCCTGATTGGTGGTTTCTAGTTTTATTTAGTTAAGCTGTGTGCCAACTTTTAAAACTTTTTCTCTTGGTCAAAAAATAATTACTTTGGTTATGTTTAAAATTCACCTAAACAAACAAAGAGCAAAATCGACAGTCAAAAACAATGAGGCCACACAGTAACGCAGAACAAGAAGACACATACACATAAACAGTAACCTATCTAGGCTAAAACAACCCAACCAAGGACAAGAACGGACACTGAAAGAAAACGAGGCAACAGAACAAAGATCAGCGCGAAATGCCAAAAAGAGAAACACATAAATACACACAGAAACAGCCGCCAAGACCAAGAAGCCAAAAAACAAAATAAGAAAAAACGCAAAATTACCGTCGAAATCAAACACAAGAACAGAAAAAGAAACACAAGCGATAAAAAAAACACACTGAAGGAATTGAAAACATGCAAAACAAAACAAAAAAAAACACATGAGCGCCAACAAAACAACGTGAATCAGCAATAGGGGAAAGAAAAAGGAAGAACACAAACAGAATGAGGAATCTAAAAAAAACTAAAACACAAACCAGATGAAAAAAAATCAAGCAGAGATGAAAAAAAAAAAAAAAATTGTATAAGAACAATAAAAACACCCAAAAAAGCATACAGAAGGCCACTAAAAAAAAAAAAGTTAAACCACAGTTCAGCTCTGAGACACTAGAGGACAGCAGAAAAACAAAACAGAGCAAAACAACTGAAAAAACACAGTTACAGTTTTTTTGACAACGCCCCCCACAGTTACTGTCACCTTCCCTATATTTCCTTCCCGACCACTGAAAACTGTACTGATACCTTATCTTAATTAAAATCTAGCCTGTTCAAAGACAAATCTCTCTAGTAAACAAAATGGTTTCACTTGTTTGCATATGCATGTGTTAATTCATTCATGCTTAACAAACTTACAGGATGAACATTGCTCCCTCCATCACATCACAACATTGTGTATATGTTGTAAAAGCCTAGATGCAGCTTATCCAAACTGTAGTAGAAGCAGATATGGTGGTGTGCATCCACATCATTTTGATAAGATTATACACTCAGACATGGAAAGCACAAAATTGGCTTTAGTCACTGGTTTACATTTAAACATGTTTTTATGAAGAGTTTACCTTCAACACAAAATTGTTTGGTAGATCAAACTTTTATTTGATAAGTATTCTAAATTTGAACTACTTCAGGTTTTTTTAAGGAAATAATTTTTAAACCATTTTCTATCATACTGTTTCAAAAGTCTTCTGTTTTAAGGCGATTCTCTGATTTTTTTTTTTTTTATATTAGACAGCCAGGGCGATAAATTAAAAAGCTAAATCTCCAAAACGGTTAAAGAGAGAAAAGAGTAAATTGACACTGACCTGTGAGGACAGCGCTCCCAGCTGCCCAGCCCGATCGGTAGCCTGAACGCGAACACGATAGGAGTCTCGACTCTCTCTGTCCAGGATTTTCTCCAGCATCACTATTCCAGTAAGTGGATCGATGGAAAATATCCCATCAAAGGAATCCACCAGGGAATAGACAATGGTACGGTTCAGACCTACAATGGGTGCAAACTGCTAGTTAAAGTGTTGGTGTTACAAATGCTTTGTTAGAAATAAAAATCTAAGTGGAAAGTATTTACTTTAATTTAGACAAACACCCACTTCCCATAGCAATCCTTTGTGGCTGCACTTATCTTGCTATGAAAATGTTAATTTACTCCTACTGTAAGTAGTTTAAATAAGTCATATTAAACTGAGAATGTCTTTTGAAGAAATGTGAAAATCATAAAGGAGATTCTTAATTACATCTCCATAGTGTAATGCCTGGCGTGTACAGGGTGCTCTGCATATTAGCCAAATAGTAAATGCTTGGTCTCATCTGATCAGAGAACCCTCTGTCATGTTTGCAGTATCCCCTCAATGCAAACTGAGGACAGAATAACTTGATGGTCTCATGGTAATAATGTTGTTTTTTACACTGTTCTGTAGATACCAGATTTATGAAGTGCATGGCAGCTTCAATGATGGGTTAAACAGTGTTATATGAGATGTTTACAGCTTAGGATATAGTTTTATTTTACTGCTATGAAATGATCGACGCCTCCATGCCCTACCCATTTGTTGTGTTCCTTGCTCTTCATAATGTTCTCCCACATACCTCTGGGATAGAACAGCTTAATTTCTATGAGGTTAAACCACACACAGCTAAGTAAATTTGACTTAGTGATTTCTGAAGGAAGCTGATTACACAGAATCTTACAGTATTTAGGGGTATCAGAATAAAGGAGGCTGAATGATACAAAACACACCATTAAGATTTTTAACTATAGAAATTCTTCTTCAAATGTAATTTTATGTGTCCTTAATCTGACAGTAATGCACTATGTGTTGGTCGATATCTAAAAATTGATTAAAAACTCACATTTGTAGTTATGGGACTAAGTGGGAAAATAACAATGGGAAATGCCTTCTAGACACACTATATACAATCATTAATACAACATGTCCATTTTAAACTGACTCCATGATCACTCAGTTGCCTTATTTTGACCAAAACTGTACAACTTGAACAATGGCTGAGCCTCTAACTGGTTTACCTTCATCAGGGTCACTGGCTTGCAGGCGAGTAAGTAAGGCTTTGGGGGAGGCATTCTCATAAATGCTCGCCAGGTAATGAGTTGTCGAGAATGAGGGAGCATTGTCATTCACGTCCAACACTTTGAGAGAAATGTCAGATCGACAGAACAGCCCTCCCCCATCAGTAGCCTGAGCAATGAGCTTGTAGGAGGATGTTGTTTCTCTGTCCATCACGGTGGCAGTACGCAACTCACCTTGAAAACAGGAAAGAAAATATTTTTAGATACCTAGCCACTTAGTTTTGGGAGTATATGTAGTTTTAGGTGTAAAATAATAAAAATAAGAAAACACAATGTACCCGTGTTGGCATCCATATAGAAATCCTCCACTCCAATGCCAAACAGTGAAAACTGGATCTCAGCACTGGAACCTGAGTCAGCATCTGTTGCACCGACCGTCAGAATACCCTTGTTAATTTGAATGTCCTCAGGAAAAGAGGCGCTATAAACAGCCTAGGACAGCGCACAAAATAAACAGCCAGATGAGAACAGATGACGAGGTAGGAAACAATATACATGTCTTTGTTATAAAGGCTTTGACTGTTAAAGCAAGCAATGCCCCCATTGTCTTAGAACAAGGTCAACTAAGTTAATCACCTTTTCCTGCCAGGGAGTCCATCCCATCTCATATCTGCCAATGCATGAGAACTACTATAAAAAATCTACTCACACATAATATATTTTTTTCTTTACAGTATGTTATATATTTCCCGTTTCTTTCCCTTATGTTTCATGGCTATTCTATTTCAACAAAATAAACTGATTAATTTCTGGACCGATAATGGAAAAGCCATTAACTTTAAAATGTATCAGGCATTATTGTCTTTTCCTCTTACTACAATACATTGTATCCTGTCACATACTGGGCACTGAAAGGTTTAAATAATTAACAAGAATATATGTCCTCCATATGGAGGGATAATAAAAACAATAATAATAATAAATCTTTTTTGCAGGGTGGAAAGATTTTGCAACATGCAACTGCAAACATTTTCAAAAGCACAAATTGGGTGCACAGCTTTTGAATATATGGTGGATTTATCAAACTACACAAAGCTTCAAATATATCAAGTTTTTTATACACCTCAAAATACTTGGGGCATAATTCTGTAAGGGTATTTTCACACTTCTTGGCAGACTTTGTAGACTTAATCAATATTGGTTGGTTTCCTGGAACATACCTGAATTGTGAGCATAATCCACAGATTTACAGTTGAATGGAGGTCAAGGCTTTAGAAAAGCTTTTCTGGAAGCTTAATATTTGATGCTTTGTCAATCCTATATAAGGATTTAAGAAATGTTTGGGATTCTTTCCTAAATGGAAAACTTACATTTTCTCAACTTTATTATTCAAATTGTTTCCCTAAATTTAAAAAGCATTAGTAAGGTACCCAGATTCCCCTGATAACCAGAGAGGTACGCTTGTAGTCATGCACATAGGTTTGCTATACAAGAGAACAGAAAGACTAGCGAATGGGAAAAAGGAGACTGGAAATACATCAAAGAAAATCCTTAATGATTTTTAATAATTCTTCTGCTAATTTTCTGAAACTGAAGAGCTGAAAATGCTGAAAATTAATAAACCAGGGAGATGCTCCCTAAACATTTACAGCCCAGTTATCTTCCAGCTTTGCAATAATTTTCCTTACCAGCACTCACTTTAATAACAGCATAACATCATGTTACATCAATTAAAGTAAATGATCTTTTTTGTGTGATTTAAAACCCCATATACTATTTTACTTTCAAATTCCTTAGTTATTTGCGTTGGTATTTCTGAAAAAGTACCAACGCAGGGTTCAAGATAAAAGGTACAGTGTGTTCATTAAAATAAATTCAAAGCCTTTTTCAAATAATTAATTCAGGTTCAGTTAGTACTTTAAGGCACTGAGGAATAAAGCACATATTTATTTTACCAGAACAAGTTCCGTTTTCCCGTATTGGACCTCTTTGACTTTTAAACCAAGTTATGCTAATTCTTCCATGGATTAACACTATGACTTTCTGAGAAAGGCTGCATTGAAATTAGCCAAAAGAGGGATCACAGGTATTGAAAATGAGATTTTTAATTTTTTTTTATTCTTTAGAAATGTAGGTGTTACGTAAAAAAAAAAAAAGTCTTAATCTTGCTTCGAGTATTAAATGTTTGTTTATTTATAAATAACTTATTATAAGTGGTCATCAAGTAAAAACAAACTATACCTCCTCATTCTTTAGTCCAGAAAACCCTTTTTTGGCAGTATATAAAGTATAAATAAAAAACAACTTTATTGTAAGTTTTTTGAAGACTAAACATTTATATAAAAAAAAATAAATAAATAAAAAAAACACTGATCACAAGAAGGATGGATGGATGGATGGATGGATGGATGGATGGATGGATGGATGGATGGATGGATGGATGGATGGATGGATGGATGGATGGATGCTACAGTGGACAGACAGACGGATGGACGGAAAGATGGATGACAGATGGATGCCTAGTTGGATTGATGGATGGATGGATGGATGGATGATTGATGGATGGACGGACGGATGCATGGATGGACAGATGAATGTATGGATGACATTTTACGCTGTGTGGGAATCCTGTAATATTGAGTCATGTAAAACAAAATAATTGTATTGGGTAGTAATAACAGACTGTATCAAAATCTTTGAATCCCTTTCCGAAAAGGTCAAAGTTACATTAACTTGCTTTCCAAATAATTTATTGCACATCTACATATCTATTCAGCTCTAACCTGGTTACAGATGGGACTGTTGTCGTTGGCATCCATCACAGTTACCTCCACTGCTGTATGTGCAACGTACAGACCATCAGTGGCTGTGATGTTGAGCAGATACCAGTCCTGCTGCTCACGATCCAGCAGACCACTGACATAAACCTTCCACTCCCCCTGCACAAGAGTGAGGCCAAACACTCCTCGTTGATTTCCCCCTATGAACAACAAAAGGATTTAAAAACCCACCAACATTGGCAGTGCATTGTAAACATATATGGCTACCAATATTCATTCATAAGATAAAAAAAAATTACAGTAGCTGACCAGCAGACTGAAACCATTTACACACTCAAATGATGCTGATAGCCTTGTTGTTCACACCCCAGGTGGCAGAGTATCGTCGAATATTTCAATAGTTTTTACATTTATAACCAAATGAGCTTTTTATCCCATTAGCAGATTACGATCACATAATTCAGTTTAGTTTATTCTGTTGAAATGCCAGTACGATAGGACAAATTAGCTGCTGGTGATGGGATAGTAAAAAGTAAAAATTAAAATTCAGGTTGGAATTTCCCTGCAGAGCCTAATCTTTTTCATAACTCTCATAAGAAGTGAGCAGAACATTTTCAAAGGGTAAGACAAAGTGCAAGAACCACATTAGTTAATTCCAAGCATAATATTAAAAACTCATGTGGTTATAATCTCATTTGGTTATATATGTGTGAATTTCCAACGCAATAAAATCTACTCCATTTTCATTTGTCAGCTATTGTACTTTGCTTCTGTTACTTTATCATTTTCTGTCTATATTAGATTCACTAAGCAGATTACACTAAATTATGCTGGGTTTTTGGACCAGGTTGCTGATGTGCACTCACTCTAGAGACAAACACAGTAGATACAAAGATATGATGAAGAAAATCTAAAATTAAATATACTCTAATGATAACGTTTTGATGAAAATATTGACAAACGTACTGACTTGTCAAGGCATTAAACATAACTCTACTAAATACACATCAGACTTAAGTTCATTGCAGAAGATATTGTAGTTTGGGGTAATGGTTATGCACTTCAACACCCCTGCTGCATCTTTTCCTCACCATAACCCACCAGTCATCCTCATTCTTATTGCAAAATCCAAGCATGGGTCACTTAAAAGGTCTATAATATTTAAAAAAATACTTTTCTATTTACTTTTAACAATGTTACATAATAATTCCTTCATCAATGTTATGCGCAAAGTGGCATTTTGCTTGTTTTATGAATGTCTGAGTAATTCTCATGATTTCTGCCCTCTGAGCAGCAGCCCCTCCCTATCCTGAAACAACAAGTGGACATGATTGGTCTGTGTAGAGCTGTTGATATCCACACCCTCCAAGATACTTTGAATCCAGTAACACACACTCATTTTCTCTCAGTGAGCAGTGATGTGAGGCAGAGCACTATAAGGTTGCTTTCAGCAACTAATCTGCACAGTGACAGCAGCTGTTCGTTTTTTAACTGGTGTCAAAGTTACAAAGTCCTTCTGACTTTGTTCAGCCTAAGACCCTAATTGCCAGAAGCAATTATTGAACTAAAACTATAGCGGCTCATGAAATGGACGTACTCATGCAGGGAAAGTCTATAGTGGATAAAAGGCAAGTTTATTTCTTTGTGGTAAAAAATTAATTTCAAATGAATACCTATGTAGTGGAAACTAAATATCGAATCAAATATATGCCTATAGTTGACTTTGGAAGCATAAAAAAGCATGATAAACAGTAGGACCTGTAAGTTGGGCAATACAGATAAATCATCCATAGTAATTTTATTTGGTTTACAACTGGTTTGGGTGTTTTTATTTTCATAGTTCAGAATTTTAAAAGATAAATCTTTTCAAGCCATATTAGAAAACGTATTTGATTAGGAAAATAACTCCTGAAATTTATCAGGCAGACTTCACAATATGTACCTGATGTAAATATGGGCAAATGATTTGCATGGCTGAGTGATTTCTTTAAATCTACTTTTGAACTTAGAAGTCATCCAAACTCAGATTTAAACAAATTTGGAACCTGCAATGTAAATATCTCAATGTTTATATTTTCTAACAATATTAATCACCTGTGATGTAAAAGCTGACAAGACGGTTTTGATCCGAGCCATCTGTGTCTTTTGTTCTCAGAACAGCTACAACTTCACCAAGTGGATCACTCTCCTTCACAGCACCTCTGTAGAACTCTCTCTCGAACCTCGGTGGGTTGTCATTAACATCTGACACGGTGACTGTTACCACCGTAGTGGAGGACAGAGGCTGTGACTCGGCAAGATCGGAGGCTACAACTTCGAAACTATAACTTGAGCAGGCCTCGTGATCTATCTGGGCTAAAGTGGTTATCCAGCCAGTTTTACTATCAATGGCATAAACAGAAGAAGCGGTGATTGGGCCAGAGAGGGACAGAGCCTCCTTCATAAGGTCTGGATTGTAGGTGAGGAGTAGACCAAGGCTGTAGGTCACCTGCAGTTTAAAGAGATATATTAAAATATATTTATTAGTAAGTGTAAGTATTTTACTTTTTACTACTACAAGTGCAGCTGCATTAGGTTTTCACATACCTGTCCATTGGACCCCCAGTCTGGATCAAAAGCACGCACTTGAATCACTCTTGTCCCTGATGGGACTCCTTCCATCACTGTTGCTACATATGTCTTAGTTTCAAACTGTGGCTTGTTGTCATTCACATCTAGAATCTGTTGAGTGACAAATCAATTGTTATCAAGCCCTCAAAAATGTAATTTATTTATAAAAAATATCACATTATAGAAAGCAAAACTGCCCCATTGTCTAATTTAATTCCTATCATAGAATTAATCTGACCTTTTAAAGAAAATTTTCAAAAATTATCAACAAAAAACAGATTTAATTGAAAGCAGTGATGTCAAGAAGGAACTCTGACAGTCCAGGCCTCCACCAAGCAGCCAATTTCCCTAATTCACAATAATAAATAATCATTTAAACAATCCGTTCAATGATCCAGGTTACCAATAACATTTCAGGAATTTTAATTTGGGCTGAGACACACCTGTGGTAGAAATTTTGAAATTAAAAACAAACATGCAAAAAAATAAGAATTCAGGAAGGTGGCAGACATTTTCCACCCCATGACAGACAGACAGACCTTAACTTCCACGTCCACAGTTGACATGGTCTCTATCAAGTCTTTTCTTGCTGTTGTTGCAACCTTAAACCTGAAGCTGCTGAATTCTTCGTAGTCTAATGGCTTTACCAGGCGAATAAGACCCGTCTCCTTCTCCACTAGGAAGGATTCCTCCTGGTTACTGTCGATTGTCTCTCCAGGGACAGCAGTGAAGAGCCCTGTCTGACCAGGGCCCAAGTACACAGAGCCCAACACTGTGCCTACTGGGGTGTTTTCAGGGATGGTGAAGGAATACTGAGGCTGGCTAAATGAGGGAATGAAAGAATCTGGAGGGACAACTTGAATGAAGGCCGACACCAAGGAGTGCTTTGGAGCAGACCCGCAGTCTGTTGCTTTGACAAAGAAGGACAGAACAGTCCCTTGAAGGTGGTCAACAGCACTCTTAGTCATCATCCAACCACTATCTGGCTCCACCTGTGAAACCAAAAAAACTATTTAAATAATTTATGCGCAATTATAGATCTATTTCAGAAGAAATGCAACATACTTAACGCATGGACATACTGCCATATTGCAACTTAAAGGTAAAGAGGATGATCTTTTATTTCATCTAAATAAGTGGTTCTCCTAATTGTCAATCATTCTGGTGATATGTTTACATTAGGCCGTTCTACATGCTCGCTCCTGTAGCTATCTTTTGCTGCACATTTGCAATTTCAGCCACATATCTGTGGTGAGCTACAGTTTCAGCCAGTAATTGAAGCTCACCTTTCTTGCCGCGGTATGCCGAGGGTCTTTAGAGAAAAAGTGTCTACTAAGTGTATGAGAAGAAAAGAATGGCCTCAGAAGAGGAAGATATATCCCAGAATGTTTTGCACTGAGAATTCTCCTCTCAAAGCATTTTGGGATATGCTGTCACAGCGGCCTGCTGTCGCCATAGGCTGTCACTGCCACCGCGCCGTGGAGGAGGAGTTATGTGACCAAAGAAGTAAAAACTAGTGATTATTTGTCCAAATGGTCAGTTAACTAAATTTGCTATAAAGTCCACTATGTAGTCCCCGCTGTATGTGGACACAGTAAGCTTGTATAAGCTATGAGAAAAGCACATTTTAAACAGAGCATGCACGAGGCGAAATGTGCTCATGCATGCTCTTGCATGCACATTTTGTTTAAATTGGAGAGGGCAGCTAAAAAATCCTACACAATACCTTTAAAAGTATTAAATTAGATTGTACATAGCAGACCATTAAAATGTGCTCTGTTGTGAGGCAAATATATATATATGTATATATATATATATATATATATATATATATATATATGCAGTTGTTAAAAGTAAAAATCAGAAGACTGTTTCATCTACACTGTCTTCTTTGCTGACTTGTTCAAGCTCAGACAGACCAGGATAAAAAACACCTGTGAACAGAAATGTTTTGGTCTGCCTCAGATTATGTAGCTGTTGGATTTAAAGTTTGACTGGCTCATTCTAACATAATAAATATTGAATTAATTAATTGACCTTGCTATGCCTGTAATCATGACATGTTTTCTTCAAGTTTTGCTCTTCCATTCAACCCTAAACAACATCTCTGTACAGAGATATAGAGGGGGGGGGGGAATTCCACTTTAGACCATACTTCTCAGATTTCTCTTATGAAAAATTTAAAAAGCCTTATTTGTTTTTCTTCTTTTTTCCAATAATGCATTACTTTGCATTGAACTATCATATAAAATCCCTATAAAACAAAATTACTTGTTTTCCATGGCATTGTGCATCCAAAATACATAGCCAAGGTATTATTAGACCACAATTGTTTTCTCATTCTTTTTTTTGTTCATTGTTATTCTTTAGGTAACACACTTTTAGTACAAGGAATCGAAAAAAAATAGATGTCTAAAAATTGATTTCATGATCTCATTTTGTAAAAGAAGGTCGATGAATAATCTATCATTAACATTGCATCATATTACATAGTAGCTGTTTTGGTTAGGCTGTTTAAATAACTATTTTACCAACAGACTGAAGCTTCAGCCCAAGTGAAACACTGTTTTGATTTGATGGGAAAAAAATACATTATGTAGTTATAATCAAATAGATGGTATTCAAACTTAAATCAGCATATTTTTTTCTAAGCTTTCTTCAAAAAACATTGTATCTTTATCAGGAAGGACAGGGACCTCAAATACAACCAAAATGCACAAACCTCCAGAACATCGACCAGTGACAGACGGGCCTCACTGTAAAGGGAGTAAGTTATCCTTCCATTAGAACCAGCATCAGGGTCTGTGGCCTGAATCTGTGTGACAAGAGAACCTTTGGCAACATTAGCTTTAATGCTCAAACGGTATTCGATGGCTCTGAACTGTGGGGCGTTGTCATTTTCATCTGCAAGGACCACTCGGACAGTGCAAAATGATGCACGGCCTGTTGAAGAGGAAAACACGAGAAATGGCATTTCAAAAGCTTGTTCATGAGGCAGTTGTTTGCTAGTTTCATCACTGAGCAGTTTAGCTCCAGGTCAATTTTCCTCAGCGAATTCGTAAAGCCATTTTGAACTTACTCTGACATTCCATTATTTCCTACTTTTATACTGTAAAACTGTATGAATACAATTTTGCAGTCATATGGTTAACCATAGTGTGTCAGTATCTTATTAGTTAAGCATTATTAAATAATTAATATAATATAGGCCTAACAATGATATTGGTATTATTGCCTGCCAATTGCTGACAATCTAAAAAGAAAAAAAAAATCCATTATTGCAATTCTGATCAAGTAGGGTATGAAACTACCTAAATGGGGAACAGTACAAAAAACAAAGTGTCATAAACAGATCACAACCTGAGAATGTTTTTGTTAGAAACAAAATGCTTACCTCCCCCATCTAACGCCATTACGGTCAGCACCATGTCTTTGTTCATAGGATTTTCTCGGTCTAACCTCTGAAGAGTGGATATGACCCCGTCTGCATCAATGTTGAACTTTGTTTTCCCCAGGTCATTAATGAACGAGTAGGTGATCTGACCATTCAATCCAGAGTCCTCATCTGTTGCTAAAACCTAGAGTCCATTTGAACATTCTGTATAAATGTATTCCATTTAAACATTACAAGCTTTTATTACAAGTTAGAGAGGTAAAAAAGCTCAATTACTTGGATGACTTTAGTTCCAGGAGGTGAATTTTCTAGAACTTCAGCCAGGTAAAACCTCTGGCTGAATACAGGGCTGTACAGATTGGCTCCCAGAACACGTACAGTTACCTGCAAATCACAATTGCAGTCACTGTGTCATCCTCTTGATCACTGCCTGCTGACATTTTGTGGATGTCATCATAATAAGGAAGACTGGGTAGTTTGTCAAACATGATCAGATCAACACATGAGCAAGTCGCTTTTAAGCAATTCAGAGATCCTATACATGCTTCGGGTAAAGAATTCCTATATATAAGAATCTACAGCAGCGAAAGAAGGGTATATAGATCACAAAGAACAATAAAAGGGAAGGAAGTTAATAAAAAAGGAAGTAACGAAAAGGAATAAAAGAGGGTTGAAAGAAAGGAAGAACAAAAATAGAGATAAAAAATAACATTGGGAAGAAAAGGAGAATAAAAAACAATTCAGAAAGGAAAAAAGAGAAGAAAGGGAGGATGCAAGAAAGGAAGAGAGGTGCCGTCAAAAACCTGGATGGTAGAAAGGAAATACACAGAGAAATGAGGGCTCAAGAAAAAAAGGAACAACGAGAAAAATGAACAAAGAAAAAAAGTACAAAAGAAAGAACATAAGGAAAACACTAGGGAAGAGGAGGAGTGCAGTAAGAAGGGAGGGGAAATGTAGCTGAAAATTATGCAGGAACCAGTTAAACACCCCCTAAAAAAGTAGGATACCTGAATGGAAGGACAGGAGAAAGCAGGCAAAGTGAAAGTACATCCAAAAGAAGGATATGAGTATGGAAGGAAATAAATAATACAGAGAAAGGAAATACTGCTCCAAAGAAAATAAATAAATAAATACATTTAGATAATGGAATAGGGAGGAGAGGCTGAAAACATAATTTTTTGTCCTTATTCTTACTTTCTTTTTCAATACGTATCAAAAAACTACCAAACTACCAATTACAGGGCAACTTCACATACTCAAACCTCTTTTCTCATATTTTCTCTGGTGCGAATGTGGTTAATATAAAAAAACGACATAGAAGTTATTGCTAAATATATACATTATAGGATGTTACAGCTGAATAAATCATGTTTTTCAGTTCACAACTCAACATCACAGTAAATTGAATGTGACACAGCATTAACCTGCTGCAGGAACCATACACTTATCCCATTTAGTTGTGACAGATGTTTGCCATAATTATAACTAAGGCTAGCAAAGGTCATCCGCCTCAGGCTATTATTGCTTAGAGAGTTTTTAAAAGATATTAAAAAAACGAAGGTAAGGTGCTGAGAAGCGGGTTCACCTGAGCAGTGTTGGTGAAGACTCCATCTGACACCGACACATTGAGTTGATAGAAGAGTTTCATGCCTTGTCTCCTCTTGTTAGAGAGACGAAGAACCCCTGTATCTGGCTCCATCATGAAAGTCATTTTCTCATTCCCTGAGAGAATAGTATACCTGAGGAAAAAACAGACTATAAGAGTATAATCTTGCATCTGGACTGTTACATTATAATGCTGAATGCTTGCAGGAAGCTGAAAGTGGAAATACTGCTAAAAAAGCATAAAATGTAATATTCATTTGATCAAAAAAAAAAAAAAAGGGCTGCTTTATGAATGATTTTAATCATAAAAAAAAAAAAAAAAAAAGGGCTGCTTTATGAATGATTTTAATCATAAAATGTGAGAAAATAATTAGAGCATATTTCATATTTTATATCTTAAATATTATATATTTAAATTCTATTTGAGAAAAGATTTTTTTAAAAGCTACAGTTATCTAAGGCATCAGATCTCACCTCAGCCTTTGAGCATCACATATGTCGGCATCTGACGCCTGAAGGCAAGTCACAAAGTGCCCTCTGGGCGCCAGATCGCTGACAAAAGCCTCGTATAGCGCTTGGCTGAAATTAGGGGGGTTGTCGTTTGTGTCAGTTACAACCACAGTGACACTAACATCAGTACTGAGGGCAGGATCTCCACTGTCTGTCGCTCTGACAATGAAGTTGTGGCGCTGCATGAGCTCATAGTCAAGCATGCGTGATGTGAATACCAAGCCCCGGCTGCTGTCAATTTGGAAGTAGTCGGTGCTGTTGTAGATGTCAGACAGGATCTGGTAAGTTACTACAGCGTTTTTCTCCGAGTCCTGGTCTGGCGCAAAGACCTGCAGGGAGTGGAAGCGAACATTTTGAAATGCCTCATGAATTAATCATTACTGTGACTGTAAAAAAATATCAAAAAGAAAAATGAAAGTACAAAAACTACTGGTTTAGCACAGCTATACCTACATAAATAACTCTGGGCTATCTACATTGATTTCATGTGAGTTGTTTATTAGTAAATCTACAATGAGTGACAAAAGGTCAACAGTCAAACTCATCTGTGGAGAAATAACATGCAGCAATAGAAACACACAAAGTTACAGAAGTCAAGAAGGGCATAATAGTGGCCATCCTGTAGGCACACTCCAGGCTGATGACCACCTCATTGCTAATTATGCTTTGTGAAAGTGAATGATAAATACGACCCAACTACAGATTGCATTTAAGTGAAGTGAGAGGGAAGTGAGGTGCCGCGATAAGAATGACCCACTCATCATCTATTGACGTGCATGATGCATTTTGAATAGATGCACATTAATATACATGTTTCCATATACCCCCAAAGCTACCAATAATAACTTTGTAAGCTAGTATTTAAAACATTGCTCATGGGTGATGTGATATGTCCACAATCTGTCATTTACCCTGGGTGTCGATATATGATGAGTGGGGTACTCCTGTCACGTCAGTATGTGAGTCAGTATGCGCAGGAAGCTTTGACCATAAATGTCAGTATTTGACGAGTTGGGAGTGAGAATGTGTTGGAGATGAACAAGCGTGTCATGTTACACATTTAAAAGTGCTTACATTGTCATGGTCTGTATGCTAGATGGCCAGCATGGTATCTCACCCCACTACCAGGCACATGCGTCAATATCTTTTATTCACCATGGAGAAATTGCATTGTTCAAGAAACAAGTGTTCCATGCTAGGCCTTAGAAACAGATTCACACTGAGGAACAAAGCTGGCTCTCTTTACTGTTAGAGCTATCAAAAGGAATGCTATGCAGCCCACCTGATTCTAATGATTTATGGTCTCATCAGCAGTCATAAAGTTCTACGGAAGCCTGTTAATCATTCTTTCACATAAGTCAGGTGTGTGACAGAAAGGAGACACCTAAAACATACAGCGCAGTTGTCCCTTATGAGCAGGATTGAGAACCACTGCCCTACCCTGAATTGCACTATGATAAGGTTTTACAACCAGTAAAGGATTATTATTTTGCCTCTTCATAAGCAACCCAGACCAAATTTTGTTTCATGGATCTCGGTACCCCAGCTTATCAGAGTTGTATCATGAGGGAACAACTGCTGTAATACCACAAATGAAGTGCCCTGAACTTTCACTAGCACTGAATCTGACAGAAAACCTGTGGGAACGGAGTCATTGTGTAGAGGGTTGTAAGTCCTGTCCCCAGAACCTCAATCAACTGTGGGCAGCTCTTGAATAGAAGTGAAATGCTCTGCCTCACAATCAGACAATAAGTTGACTTGTAAAAAACAAGACACATTTTTATCCAACGGTAATTGATGCTCAAGGACATATGACAAGTACTAAGACACTGGTGTGTTTCTTAGGCTTTCTATGAATACTTTAAGATTAGGAAATTAGCAAAAAACGCTTCTGCTTAATTATCCCTCTTTCTCATCACAGAGGATTGAGTTTTACACCTTACATATTCTATACCTTTTTGGAAGGACTCTGCAATATATTGCCCACTTATGGAATAAATGACTGAATGTTTTAGAACTGCGCTGCAGCATAGGAATTCTAGAGATGTGCACGAATCGGAACACATTCTGTAGTATTTTCAGCAGACATCTGTAAATGAACACAGAGCTCTTTACTTGTTGGGAACTTGTCATTAATGTTTGGGATTATCCTCAATTTGGGCAAACAGTCTCACACAGAGAACACGCTTCATCTTTTCTTGTAACCCCCTAACTCAACAATGACGTGGATGGTATACTTCAGTCATGTTTTAACAAAAGTTAATAATCCTTATTTCCCCATAGCTGGTCAGAATTAAATAGAAACTGAATTTGCTTCTCCTGCTAAAAGCATGCTCCTGAAGCAGTGACTGCAGATTCTGTTGGGGTAAGTAACGTGAAACCTGTGATGGGGGATCTGGAGTCAACAAGTCATTTTTTTATCATGCATTTTTTTTATCCAGCCACTGAAGCAGGTGAGTCCAATCTGGTCACTGAATGAACCTATGAAGATTGGACTCACCTGGTTCAGTGGTTGGATAGATCAAATACATGACATAGAGACGACTTGTAGAATCCAGATCTCCCATCTCTGACAGAAATGTATATTCTGTCAGAGCATATATCCACACCACAAATAAGGTCAGGAATTCCATCTCTGTTTTATAATAAAGCTGCTAAATTAATCAGATCAGCTAACTGATAACCTCGTGGTAGGTATTCATCTGTGTTGTGACTGTGGATAGCCTGGTAGCATGTACAGTAGATTCTGCACTGTGTAACCAACCAAGAGTGCAGCTGACATCAGCCAATCACATGGCACCTGTGACACTGCCTCCAAAACACACCATGTGCACATAGAAATTTTCTGGCAGCGGTGAGAGCAGGAGACGTAGTTGGTAACCTGCTACAACTAGCAGAATTTGCAGCAAGCAGTTCTTAAACGGTAAGCTTTAATCGTCAAAATATTGTCATAGACTCTATTCAAAAACAGGCAGAGTTTCATCTTTTCACGGGCATGCAGGGTTTCCCCAAGCATACTATAAACTTGGCGGGCAGCCATTACTCGCCCCCTGCCAGGATAAGTGTCACCTGTCTGCCAGCTGTATAAACTTTTATAAGCCTTCAGTGCTTTTCCTGAAGCGTAAGATTAGCGACTCAGCAAATAATTATACAAGTCGTGGTGGGCAAAGTCGGGGATGTCTGGAATCGGTGAGTACAAGCTAATAGGCAAATTATAGGGATTCTGCACTACAACCAGAGAACGTTTTGTGATGTAGCACTAATTTAACTCCCCATTCAGACATTCAACATAACAAGATGATTTTGGGTTGGCAGATTCTCCACTCATTTTGAATAATGAATTGAATTTGAATGTACCAAATATCTGTATTATTACAGCACACCAGGTAGTTTTATGCTGTCCAGCATGGTGGCCTAGACTGCACGTCCTTTATAGGCAGAAACTGTCCCATTAAAAGCACCCTCTCTTCATTTGTAAAATTGGGCAGAAATGCAAAAAGAAATGGGAAAAGACAGGCATCAATAAATAGAAAGGACAAAATGAAACCAGTAGAAATAAATACAACAGACAAAAAAAAAATTAAAAAAGAAATAAATACATATAGAACACATAAATTTAATTCTAAAGCTGGACATTATAACTGTATGAAATAAATAAGGTCAATATTATAAAGAGGAATAAATAAATACGCAAATTAAAATATATTTCTACATTTATTTCTCATTTTATGATTGAATCACTGCTTACATTTATTTATTTGATGTATGTGTGGCCCATTTAATTGTACACCTATTTATTTATTGACCATTTCATTCTTTTAGAATTTATTTCTGTCAGAGTTTGTCTTCCATTAAGGCATTCTTCTCTATGAACAAAACCAACAAAGTCACAAAAAATATAAAGCCAAATAAGGAAGGACACTGGTACCAAAATCTGCTGCATATATCTATGATAAAACGGTTATGGTTATAAATGGTTATGTGTTATTGCACATTTCTTTCCTGTTGTATTTAGAATAAATATTTCATTAGGGAGGATCTCCTCATTATTACTTTAATTCAATTAGGAATATGTCATTTCATTAGTACATAACATGGTTTTTGTTAGACATCTGAATCCTTTGGAGCCACCCACCTGTAGCACAGATGTTCCTATCATTGAGTTCTCAGACAGGACAGCAGCATAGGAGTTGTTCTGAAAGAGTGGGGGGTTGTCGTTCACATCTAACACAATGATGTCTACATCCACCTCAGACTTTGCTCCGGTCAAGGTGTCAGTAGCTTTCACTGTTAGGCGGTAGTACTGCGTGGTCTCATAATCCAACTGATATCTCACACTGATGATTCCTGTATCGAAGCCAATGTCAAATTGAAAGGAAGGGTCTCCATCTGTGATGGTGAAGATAATATCCTGGCCCTCTGGACTGCTGGCATTAATACCAAGAACAGAGGTGGAAACTTCTACATCCTCTCTGACTGTGACACCATAGAACGGCTTGTCAAACACTGGCATGGCTTTATTTACAACTGTTACAGGCAGCTCCACCTCACTGGAGAGTCGAGGGAATCCACCATCAGTTGCAATGATAATCAACCTGTACTCTGCATTAGATAGGTCTGCTTCAAAAGCTCTTTTTAAGACCAGTTCCCCTGTCAGAGAATTCACCTGCATGAAATAAAAAGATAAAAATATAACCATTATTTTTTAATGATGTAGTTATAAAGACTACTCCACAATGAAAAAACAAGCCACTTCAATTTTCAATGACCTCAAAGTTCCTGTGCAGAGTCTTCATGCTGTAAGTTACTTCTCCATTCTGATCAAAGTCTTGATCAACAGCAGAGACCCTGAAGATGGATGATCCTGGCTCTGCTTCCACCTGCACTGCAGCATAGTAGGGGAGGTTCACAAACTCTGGAGCATTGTCGTTTATATCTTCCACCTACATTAAAGACAAATAAGATCCCTTTAGTGACAGAACGAAAAACATTCTTTAATTGGATGCAATGAGGTCCTGAGAAATAAAACTGAAAAATGTTTAGTAGGATTTAAAGAGAGTAGCAGGCAGATTCTGGCAAACCGATGCAGTGCATTGTCTGATACACACCCAGTGTGTCCACCTGCAGAAACTCAGTCTAGATTTGCTGATATTGGATTTCAGGAAGGAGAGAAAAGAACAGTAGATTTTAGAAAACAATTACTGCTGCCCCTCAGTGAGAAAAGGGTTAAAAGGTCCCTTTTCAAAATATCAGAAGTCCAATCCACACTGAGAGGAACTCGTTACAAGTGAAAGACAGTAGTGAATGTCTACAAAAATGCAACCACAGGTTGAACTATTCAACGCCAAGCATAGAAATCTAATCTGTGCATGAATCAGCAGCATGGGAATATAATCCTCATCAAGCCTCCACTCTTTAAAAATCAATACTTCAATTTAAAAGCATCATCAAGCGAAATATCAACAAATGGGACAAAAAGTGAAGCACGAACCAAATACAACATACCAGGACTAACTCTGCACAGGCATGGTGATAGAAGGGGGAGAATATGGCAATTTCTTACAGCAATGGTAACTAATCACTTTCTAATTATCATATCAGATAATTAGAATCTGCTCTCAAACCAAAATATTAAAGAGATTAACATGAGCAACTGTACAACCTGTTTATCTTATGAGACCATTTCCCAACCTTTAAAGCCCTGTAGGTCACTCGTCTGAAAATGGAATGGAAAATATATATATATATATATATATATATATATATATATATAAACAGAACTGCAAACCTATGTCCAGCAGTTATGACTTGTGGCTTGCACATCTCCTAAATAGCAACAAACCTTTCACCCACAAACTTCAATTTTAGGCAGCTTAATGTTGCTAAATTACCTTACACCTATCTTTTCACAACTAGGGAGGTTTGTAACTAAGGATGGGGAGACACATGTCTGGCTTTCCAACCCTAAAACTGACTTTTTGTGCTTCTTACAGTTAAAACTGCATTCTTCTTTTGTATTAAACTTCACCACACAATTCCAATCAAATGAATTTGAGCTTGTGCTTGTAAATGACAACACTGGTAATGAGTAGTTTTGCAAGGCACTTTCACTTCCATCTTATGTTTTCTTTGAACTCCTGCTTTTAACATTGCCTGCAAGGCAGTTCGAAAATCGAATAACATGCAAAATAGAAAACCCTGGCCTTATCCTCAGTCGTTAGTTTCCTATTAGCAACTGTACTGTATGCATGGTTTAATGTAAGACACAAGGCAAAGAACACTCAGTGAACAGAAGAGCTTCAGATCTTGACAGGAGTTCAATGCAGACATAATAACAAAGCTGCAGTCTGAGTCGCTGAGTAGCTGTAGAAAAGTAAACATGTCTGGATTGGCTAATTCATAGAGTGAAGTAAACATGTCAAAGTTTTAGAGAAAGCTAAGTTGACATGCTAAAAGCCAAATGGAAAAATATGGAAAATCTACAATCTATGGGTTTTTAATTATTGAGGTAAGCAACATTCACTTTAAAAGGATTGGATTTGATTTTTAACAGTTATAGTACAATCAAAATAATGCAATTCTTGCTGTGACAGTGCTTTCATACTGTCTGTTATAGCAAATGAAACAGCAGACCTGCTAAAGCAAAAGTGTATATTTTCCAAAAGCCTAAAATACTCACTGATAGTTTGTGTCAGGGCGAGTTGAGCTAAAACTCAAGAAAGGCTTTGATCATAACTTGTTCTCAAGAAGAAACTTAAATGAGAATTTTACATACATCTTTATCAATATGAGCACAATCAATGAACTGAACAAACTTTTAAATTATCTCAGGTTTTTATAACCATTATTAGACATTATGTACATTATTTACAGCAATCAGAACCTACCTGTACTTGTACAGTCACCCTTGCCACTCTTAGAATTTCATCTTCTCTGCTGACTTCCACCACCAGCTCATAGCTTTCCATTTCTTCACGATCAAAAGGTACACTGGTGGTGAGCACCACTCCACAGGTAGGCCGAATGGTGAACCTTCCTCCAGGGTTTAACAGTGTGTACTTCAGTGGCTCGTTCAGGCGATGGCCAACAGTGTTTACAACAGTCACTAATGTGATATTTGGCTTGTTCTCTGGGATGGAGGCCAGATATATGGGGCGGGTAAAGAGAAGGCCGCTGTCAACAGCTTCTCTCACAAGCACAGTGATGGATGCCATGCTGGAAAAACGTCCGTCCCAGACCTTAAACACAAAGTGTAAAGTAGATTTTCAGAAATGGCTAATAATAAAAAAATACAATTTCTATGGGTACATGATGCTAAATTAAATACATTAGACTTGTATTTTGAGATACATATATTAAAAGTTGGTCTTTTCATGGTTATACCTCTTTATACTTTTTTCCCTATCCCAATGAGGACCTGACCATCTTGGGCTGTAAGGTTGATGCTCTGAAGAAAGTCAATAAGCTCGCCCAAATGATTACTCATTTTTCAGAAAGGGCTGGGCAATATGGTCAAATACGATCGTACATTTTTTAATACCAAATCCAATATATTTTTTTTCATCTTTAGGTGCATGAAAAAATGGCCAGAAATTACTTTTAAAAAAACAGCTTTTGTTTTGACCATCACTTCTGAGGGTTTCCAATTGAAACAAACTTTTTCTCACTCAGTTATATTGCAGTGGCATACAAGACAGGTATGCAATAACTTAATGGGTAATTTCACATTAAAAAGGTGGAATCAGGGTTTGCCAGCTGACCAAGTTTTTCAACTTCCCTGCCATATGTGCTACAATAAACAACAGTTACTTAGTTACCTTTACACTGAACCGATATCGATCTTTGCTGAGGTTTGGGTTGGTGACTGTCAAAACTCCAGTAAAGCGCTGCACAGTAAAGTATTCCATACTGTTGTCCACCAGCGAATAGGCTAGATTTGGTGTGAGAGATTCTTCTTGTTCAGCAGTTATATCAGGGTCAACAGCCTCAACCTGGAGGACTTCAACTCCCACATATGTCGGGAGCAGAAGGACTGTCTCATAAATGTCTTGAGTAAACTTAGGAGGTGAATCATTGATGTTCATAACCTAAGAATATGGAGAGTGAAAAAAAATAAAATCTACAGTCACAACTGAACAGTACAATAGTCTTTTTGGGTAACAATCGCTGATTTATGTGAATTATATGTTACTTGCCTTTATAGTCACCTCTGCAGGACTCTCTGCACTCCTAGAAGGTTGACCATTGTCTTGTACATGAACCCTAAAGTTGAACTCTGGAAAGGTCTCGTAGTCCAAACTTGCAATGGTTCTAAGATTTAACAACACAGTCTATAAGAAATTGTTTAATCAGATTGCTAACTAAATAGTCTGATTCCTAAGCAAAATTGCTCCTACCGAATTGATCCTGTCCCTGAGTCAACACTGAAAAACATACGAGCGGTCTCCTCTATGATTTGAAACATTAACAGGGCATTGTGATTGCGATCTTTATCTGTGGCCTGGATAACCAAAGGGTTGCCGTCCTCTCCCAAGACTACACTGTTGACTGGAGCAGCTTCACTGACTCTACCTATATACCTGTAATGTAATAAAGGAGACAATGTTGAGAAGGAGGATTGTCATGATATCCCCATGAAACCTCGTTTCTACTTATCAGGTTTTACCAGCTTTGATACCTGATTTTCTGAAATATAGGTGGACAATCGTTAACATCCACCACCTGGATGATAACACTGGTGCTGGCCTCAACTCCTGCCATACTCAGGGCTCGCACCATCAGAAAGAAGGATGTCATTTGCTGCCAAAACAAAGATATTCAATCAGCATTGAGAAGTGTTAGAGAACAATTGAGCAGTCAACCAACTACATATACAAGTAAAGCCTAAACCTAACCCTATGCAGATAACATTGTCATATTACACATGAGCCAAGAACTCATTTTAAGAAAAGTATATCTTTGTCTGTTTATAGAACAACCACAACTAAACCATTAGACACAATTCCTACAGGGCCAGTATCCTGCAATGTTTAGATATTGCCCTGGTCCAACACACCCCAATCAAATGGCTTAATTACCTCCTCAGTTGAAGTTAAGATCTCCATAGTCCTGAAAAGGAGTAAAATATTTGAATTATGTGTGTTAAAGCAGAGACATGTCCAAAAGGTGCAGGGCACTGGCCTTCTAGGACTCGATTCAGACATCGCCCCAATAGAATATGAAGCCGGATTTCAAACTGTGCTGTCATCTGAGAAAACATTTGCTGTTTTCATGTAAATAAATAATACCAACACCACCAACCAGTTCAGTTTTCAGCAGAAAATGCTGTCGTATAAACAGAGTCTAAAAATTGCTCCCAGTTAACCCGAATGCCACGATTTAATCTAGTACAACATTAAACTTTTCTGGATTTTCTAAATAAAAAATAAAAAAATAACTCAAGCACATACAAGCATTAACTAACCTCAAAGTCGAGCTGTTTTCGAGTTGTAATCACACCAGTGTGAGAGTTAATAAAGAAGCAGCGCTCCTCATTGCCTCTGATGATGTCATAAACGACTGGTGAGCGACTGATAGCCGTGACGGTGGTCACGTATGTTCCTACTTTGCTGTTCTCCATTATCTGCAGATAAAAGACATTAATGATGCCTTTTAGACACCTTGGTGAGTTATGTGAAGTGTTTCATTAAGGTATTTACCTCCCACATATCCATCAAGTTATTTACCATCCAAGCATGTCTACTGCCTTTAGGACAATATTTATTTAATCTGTCCCTCCCTACAACCCTTTCACCCGTGAACATATTGTCTTTACCTCAGCCTGATACTCCATTTGAGAGAATTTTGGTTTGGAGAAGTCAGAGAGTATCAGGGAAATCCGGACTGAAGCGGTTGCCATTAAAGTAGGAAAGCCACTGTCTGTAGCCCGCACAGTGAGAGTGTAGAAACCCACAGAGGTGAGATCCAGCTCCTTTGCAATGATGATAAGGCCTGTGGTATTATTTACCGCAAACACACCCCCTGTGTTACCTGCATTGAGAAGATTGTGGAGGTTATTATTTATTTATTCATAATAATAAAAACAATTATTGATGTATAATCAAATACAGTGAAAACAGAAAGAGACAAAAGAAAGAGCCTACCTGCTTCAACAGTATATGTGAGTTGGCCATTAATTCCATTGTCTTTATCTAGTGCTGTCACCTGTACCACAGAGGTACCTACAGGAAAAGTCTCATAGGCTGTAGCATCGTATACAGAACTAGTAAAGTAGGGGACATTATCATTAGTGTCTTCCACTGCAACAAGGATGCGAGCCAGGTCACGGTTAAATGGAAATTCCTGATCCTTAACCTACAGTTGGAAGCAACATAGAAACAAAAAATTCAAAAGCATTCACTCTAACAGAAGGACAGCTGTAAATGAGTCTCATAGAGAAACATAGCTCCAAAGTGAGACAGGTAAAATAAAGATTATGGGCCCAAAGCCTGAAATCAGAAAGATACACCGAAAAAGGCCCAAAACCACAATAAAGTCAGTGTCTGTGAAGCGATACTTCTCAGGTCGATAAACACTGTTAAGACATCTGGAGGATATGGACTCATTCAAATACATGGGAAAAACTGCGAGATGCTAAACCTTGGATGCCATCAGACTTTCCAACGGGACAGTCTTAAAATCCAGCTTGGCTTCAAAGATCTTGGGAGATGAAAGGAGTGAACATAGCATTTTTTGACTTAATTTATATAAAAAAAATGTCCTGTGGGATATACAGTAAAAAATGATTGTTGCAGCATACAAATCTCAAGATATTTATAAAGCTGTAGGTCTTTGCCGATGACAGCGGGGATTACGATTGCTGCCTTTTTCAATAAATCAAATTAACACTAGCTCATAACAGGAAAAATGAATTGGCTGAGACTGTAACAACTGCTGAAGTATTTTCTTACCATAACTGTGAGGATGTGCTGAGTTCTTGCCTCATAGTCCAGTCTGTCTGCAGTGTAAACGACCCCTGTGCCAGGATTGACCCTGAACAGTCTCATACTTGCAGGATCAACACTTCCATAGATGGAAAAGCTCAAACGGGCACGCTCATCCATGTCTGAAGCTCTGAGTCGAAGCAATTCAAAGTCAGATGGTGCATCCTCAGACACACTAACGTCATACGCCGGCTGTGAGAAGACCGGAGGGTTGTCGTTGCTATCTTGTATGCGTATGAATACCTGAGCAATGAGGAGATAGAAAAAGGAATTTTTAAACTCAAAGAATTAAGTGGAAATTAGAACTGTGTAATAGATTTTTTTAAGTGGTTTTTTTTTTCGTTGTGGAAACACTTCTCTTATTTAAGGGAATATGGTGACAGTTAGGGTAAGATAAAGGAAACACTTGAAAATCCAAAAAGAAAACTGTCACAGGCTTCAAAAGACTAAATGTGGAACATTCATTGTCCAGCAGAACAACAGCACTAAACTTAAAATGACTGTAACAACAGAATGGTTTACACCAAAGATCAATCATGTACTAAATAAAATCGGAAAATAGTTGACAAGTTATGGATGTTCTTGTTCCAGTCTATCCAGAGATGAGCTATCAGATGTGTAAAGCTGGAAGAAACAAACGGCTATAAGAATTAAAACCACAACAAAAAGCTGTTCTAAGAACCATTAATACATGACAACCAAATCAAATTACATGCGACAAATTTCAAATTTCTTATAACAATTTATACTTTCCAATGGCGTCAGAATTAGGTACTAGTTGGTACTGGTGTGTCATATAAAATACCCCAAAACAAATCTGACTAATGAGTACCTGAGTGGTGGCAATGTTGGTCCCATCAGTCACCTGTACCGTCATGTTGTACACTGACTGAACTTCTGCATCCAGGGGCTTAGCCACGACAAGGGTCCCCACCCCAACTTGGAGGTCAAACTGCATATCAAAGCTTCCTAGTTTTTCCATAAACAGATAAATATATATAAATATATATACACAAACACGCACAACAGGAGACATTTTGCATTCACTTTCAGTGTTATACTAAGGTGCTCTAAGGTAATACTGTGTAATTGTTTTGGCCAGGCGCCTTCATCTGTTGCTGGAGGGTCTGTGAAATAAAATGAACTGAAATGCTTTGCAATGTAGCACTGAACCCACTTGGCAGCTTGAGAGCTGTTAACAGCCATACAAACATCTGTCTTATCACTCCAAAACACAACCCATCACAAAGATCAGAAACCCACAGCCGGGTCTTTTCCACAGGCGGTGAGTGTACAGTTTAGAAGCTTAATGTTTGATTAAAGTGAGTCACAGGACTGATATGTGTTAGGTATTCAGTGCCATCCTTCATCTTATCCTAGCTCCTCTCTTGAGACATCTTGGGAGTTGGAGCTCCCCTCAGCATATGAATACTGATTGGACATTTTTCAATGGATCTCTGAAGCATGTTGAGTGGTAGCAAACCGCTAAGACTCACACATTATTTATTTATTTATTTCCTGGGAGGTTTCCTGGTCAGTTTTATGACAGGCAATCAATTTCACAGCACTTTGAAAAACAAAAGCTTGTAATATCCAGCAAGTTTTTTTTTAATCTTTTTTTCTGCTTGTAAGTTTTAGAAATTATCCACATAAACATACTGTGACAAGAAAATCTGAATAGGCAATTTGATTTGCACAGATGCTATGTGTCTATTATTTCATATTTCACACTTTAGTCACAAACTATGAGCCCGTGTGATCAATATGTCTGATTGCAGGGAAACACTGAAAGGAGAAGACATGACTAATACATCTTTCAATCTTATTGGCTCGCCTGGTAAGGATAAATGAAAATCTTTAAAATACATACCGCTTTATTTTAACAGCATTATTTGACTTTGAAAATTGGATAAAAGTCTAACCTTGGGTCTGACAACCTCTATTTAGTGAAGAAAGATAATATCTGTATGTAAACAAAAGAAAATAAAATGTAAATCCCTTTATGCTCCCACAATGGGGAAATTCACTCTCTGCAATTGACCCATCCTCTTGGGGGAGCAGTGTGGAGTTAAGGGATTTGCTCAGGAACCCAGAGTGCAGGCTGTGGTGATCGAACTGGATACTTGCAACCTTCTCAGAGCACAAGCACAGAGCACAAGCACACTGTTCTAACCATTAGGCAAACACAATATCTATGATATTTCGATAATATATAATCTTCCATGACATACCATTGAGGTCAATTTCTCTAAGTCATGTTTCAAAAGAATAAAAACACACAAAAAAACAAAAAAAAAAACATGAGAACTGGTTTATTAAGTAAATCAAATATTTAATTTCACAATTCAGAAGCAGGTTTCAAGAAGATTTTTTTATTTAAACTAATCAGCACCTAAAAATGCTAACTAGTGTGTAAGGGTGTGAGAAAAAAATCATTTTGGCGATATATTATGATTTTTGGTTGCCCATTATATTGATCTTTCAGCTCCTAGTATCGATTTCGAAAAAACAAAACACTTTTACTTAAAACAATGAGGGAAAATGGGCTACCTCTGCACCGCCACTCTGGCACATAGTGCAGTGGAGCCTTGTTACTGTTGTTGAGGCAGTCACAGTGGAAGACGTGGACAGACTCAAACTTTCCATTTTTGTCTATACATTTAGCTTTGATATAAAGTGCTTGATTGTGATAATATTGTATCATGACCCAAGTATCATGACACATATTGAATCGCAGCTCCCATGCCAATACTCGCCCTTACAAGTGAGGCTGTACCCTGTTCTCTCATGTGTCTGAGAGTATGAGTATGAGTACCAGTTTAGGATAGTGAGTGAAGAGTGCAGTTCCACATGTGGTCCTAAATGAGTAAAACTGTTTTATGTTTTTTGTTTATTTTTAACCTCTTCCATATTTAATGATCACCAGGCTATTTGGTTGAATGGTCACTGCTACACAAAGGCTCCAGTCTTCAATTTGTAATATATAAAACCACATATTCTTGCCATCATCCAATGAAAAAATTGAACCATGGCTGCTTATGGTCTAATCATCTTCAGGAGTTCTTGTGAGTACCTTAAAAGTAGACTTTTAGAAAAAAATGAGTAAACTTCTTGTAAATTTTCATGGAAGTGGAAAGCATTCCAATTAGAAGCACAACAGATTCACATTTATTCAGAGAAGCAGGAGCATTACAGCTGAACTAATGAAATAAACCTCCCCTGCCTGGTCAGTGAAAACAAACTGGTGCTGTTCGAGAATGAGAATGCTCTCTCAAACTCAGATCAATCAACACCGCCTTCAGCTAAACAAGGTCCTGGCGTTGTGTGCTACACTTCCTGAATCTTTGAACTCCTCCAAACCTGAGGCATTTAGGGAAGCGCTACAGAGCTAAATTAATTCGGACCAACCTGTGTCAAGAGAGCAGTTTCTTCCACATTCATTCTGTGGAATGTAGAAAACTTCTCTGGCAAGTCGACCGCCTTAACAAAAAAGGAAAAAAAAAAGATGATAAATATTCATGAAATCCTATCCAACTTTTGTTCGAACTCTAAATGATCTAAAGTTGTAAAGTCAAGCCCTTAAAATTATTTTGCAACAAAGCTAAATAGATTCACATCATTTTGGAAGAAGCTGAATTGTTCTAACTTGCAAAGTATATCTACTCAATTTATAAGTTAGCCAATAACAAATAGTTTTGCTATATTTCCCTGGTTGACAGACAGTGAGCAACATCTATAAAATGATTAAGCTTCAGGAATAGAAATGAATAATAAAGTAGACATTACATATTAAAAATTATTTTCTCAAACTATATATACCGGTATATAGGAATAATTCCTATGAAAGGAAAAATGTTTTGTAATGCACCTCTCTGAGCATGGGTCAAAATGACAAAAATAAACCTCTGTAAATTGCGTAGATTAAATTTTATCTATTCCTAATCTGAGAAACTGATCTTTGTTTTTTAATTTTTAATCTGATGTAATTGTGATTTGAAATAATTATGTTTTTCTGACATTTGAAAAAAAAATGGTTTGCATCTTCGACAAAAAAATCAGCACAAGAACTCCTACTTACCAGTGATACCAAACCAGACGGGTGTGGTAGACTGGCTGATAGCCACCACTCCTACCGGCTGAGCAACTGCAGTTGTCTCTGCAATTGAGAAATTGTAAGATCTCTGGGTGAAGAGCAGGGGCACAGGTGAAGGGACGGGTTTGCGAATCCATTCAATATGGAGTTTTACAGTAGACCATAATGGTGGAATACCGCTGTCCTCTGCCTTTATCTGTAAAAAAATACAAAAAAGAAAAAATACAAAAAAGCAGACAACAATTTCACGAGTAGATTACATCTTGATCTACAGTTAACACTAAATGCATGTCATCTGGATAAAGCAGTTTATAGAATTCACCTTAAGTAAATAAATGGCGCTTCATCTTGTTAAATAGCTTGCAATACCTTTTAAAACTTATGTCAATACAGCAGAGAACAAAAATAATTCAATGTAATATAAAAGCCAATATGCAATATGCTTGTAAATTTTATAGAAAACTAATTGAATAGTTTTCCAGGAGATCAAATCTGGTTGGTGCTGTCCATGTTAATGAAAAAGGCTACCTCATCAGACGAGACATAAGCCCCCCTCCTGAGAAACAAAAGACGAGCGCAACAATAAATGGCACAATGGGGCGGTGAGTAGCTAATCAGTGAATCAGTTATAAAGAATTAGCCTTGCACTGACAACAGCCAGAGCTGCTATAAATTAACCTTGTGTTTGAGATGCTGATAAGATGTCAAGTTTACAAAGGGACCAAAATAAAAAGGGGGATTTTGTGCCAGGAAACGTGACTTCAAAAAGGCAATTCTGTTACACATATCTTATAGTGCAGCCACTACATTTATTGGCTGTGTAAGAAAAAAAAAAAAAACTTGAAATATCTGGACTTCTGCCAGTGGAATACTGGAAAATATATATTTTTTTCTCAGGGAACCTTGCCATGTTGTTCAAGCTGGAGTTATACAGAGGTAAAGCAAGAGAAATGGGTTTTATTTATTATGAGGCACTCACGGTGAGGATGTCATAGCTGTCTGCTGTGACCATCTTCTTTGAAGACACCATACCAGTCCTGGGGTCAATGCTGAACTTCTCATCCCCATTACCATCAATAATGCTGTATGTGATGTTCCCATTCGCTCCCGTGTCACGGTCGTAGGCAAAGACACGATAGACAGGTTCCCCTCGTTTGTTTCGGTCCCGTTCGGGCAAACTGATGCGATAAGTGACCTCTGGAAAGGTGGGCGAGTTGTCGTTCTCGTCCTCGACGTGGACTATGACCCAAACAGTTGACTGACGGGTCGTCACTGGACCGTCGATTACAGTGACCTGCGTTGGCAGCACACATGCAAAGAGATATACATCATATGATGAGAACATGCTTTGTCATTTCTGTGGGATTTTCTCTGCGAGCACATGCATTTATTGACATCTTAAATATTGCTTGTGCTGTGTGAGTGCAGGGCCACGTGGGGCAGAGGTCCCGGGAAATCTCTTTGTATTATTGATCTGCCTGAAGCAGAGCCAGAGGTCTGATCGCTGATCAATTGGATCAGATAAGGGTGAAAATCATTGTTGCCAGCCTGACTGCTCACTAGACTATTAATTACAGACAGGCAGCAGGAGCTAGACTGTAAATAGTGGATAGCGTAGATGGACTGGCATTTCTACTGAAATCGGATACCGAACGTCCCATTTCATTTAAGAGGCTTTCACTCTATTTTACAGTTTTCCTATTAAGTTTGTCTGTTTTAAAATACACTTTTTCGAATAAAAAAATAGCATTTTAACTTAGGCTCTTTAATCCAGTTTTGCACTATTGATGATTTAGCATCATTTATCATGTTGTCTGGAAGCCTGTTTCAAAAGAGATGATCTAAGTAAGGCTAAAACCTAATGAATAAATTGATAAATTAATTAAAATAATCAATTAATAATGACATAGCAAAAGATCACTCAAAAAGACTTTTTACAGAATTAAACTAGGTGAAACTAAAACTTTTAAACTTGAGGAGTTCTAGATAGAGCTTGTTGACAGATGAAAACATTTAATATTTTAAAAGCTAAATGTATGTATATATATATATATATATATATATATATATATATATATATATATATATATATATATATATATATATATATATATATCAGCCCTAGATCAAAGCATTAAATAAAAATAAATTTGTGTAATGAATCCACAAAAAACAGTATTCTGCTGAAAACATGCAGAGGGTGCAACACAGCTTATGCCTTGGTTATGGAAGATAGTTTGAACAATAAGTTAACAGCCAGACCTTTCAGGTAAACAAAGGTTCCCTTTATAGCCATACAGTGTATATTATGAAACAAATATATATCTTTGATGCTGTTTTTCCTCCCTTTTTTATGTTCTCTGTCAGTGCAGAAGAACTGGCAATACCTGCAGATCATGTAATTAGCTGCAATTGCGACTCGTGTCTTTCCCTGTGTCTGGGTTAGATGAAGGAGAAAACAGTTAATACTTCAATTAGCCTTTCAACATGTGTAATGTTTGCTTGGAATTGCATTTTATTTTGAAACAACATACTTTGTGAGGAAACTAGCTACAGATGGTCTCATGGGCGCTGAGGTACTAAAGGTTTGCATGTATGAAAAAAGGTGCACATGGAATAGCATGCATCAAGGAGTTGTGTCAACATCAGAAAGTAAACAAAAAATGCTCTCTTGCTTCTAAGCACAGAAAAGGGTTGGAGAAAACAAAAGGTGTTTTTTCATAAATTAATTTTTAAACAAGTAGTCATAAAGTTTTACACTATTATATAACCTCAGCCTATTTACAAAGGCAATATTAGCGTGCCTGTCTTCACTGAGAGCCTAGTCTCACTTTACATGGCAGTTGACTTCCCCTGGTGGTCTGGCACACTTCAGTTTTTTTTTAAGTTCGCAACTTTTTTTAAACTTGCAGTTGTTTGATACTTGCTGTTCTTTTTCCTTTGATCCAATCTGTGATTGCAGAATTTTCTTTTGCAGCGTTTTTGTGTTGCAATTGATTTTTCTTGTCAGTTTTTGGTTTTGCAGTATGTTTGGCATTGGTGGCCTTCAGCTGTTTGCCAAACATTTGTGCCATTTTTTCAAAAAAAGCAGGGCAAAAATATCACCTTTAACATTATTTAAAAGAATGAGAAAAACTGAGTTCTCTATTCATTCAAATAAGGATTTTAAGGTTTTAGGAAGAGACATGATTTTGCTTTGAAAAATTGAAATAATGACAGTGACTGGTTGTGACACTTGGATTTACCCAGATGCAAGAAGCTACTCCATCATATTTGTGCCTCTAAGTCATCTGACAGTTTAGTTCATTTCACACCAACAGATAAGCTCCTTGCTGTTCTACTCGTTCTGTATCTTTGCCACATAGCAATCATACATATCATCTGTGCACAGTGCTTTTGCAAATTGCTGATAATTGCTCATAGGAAATAAATCCAACATGCTCTCCTGAAGCCTCTGTAGTGACAGCTGGTAAATGGTAAATCCTCATTTTATTATGGAGGTCTGCACCACTCTTGAAACTTTTATTAATCTTAGATCAGCAGCAGAATGAACACTAACTGTCCTTTCCATTTTGTTTGCACAATAAGTTTAGGGCTTTTTTTTATTTTGGATCTCAGTAGCCCAATGTGTTTGAGTGGACAGACTGATGGTGCTTCAGGATTTAGCTTTATGACAGCTTTTTTTATAGCTAGAAACAGACTGTGAAGAAAAGTTTTACTTATACATTGACTGCACTGCTTGTTAATGTGTAAAGATGTCTTTTCTGAAGGGCATTATAAGTTAAAACTGCAGCATAAAGTGCAAAATGTATAATGATACTGCCATAATATTAGTTCACTCAATTATCTTTTTGATTTCAAATGTCCATTTACCGTTGTGGTAAAGTGCAGTCAGATAGAAGTTACCTTAGAGGTTTTGGTTCACTAGCTCAGGCTAAGTTTCCACGGTAGAGCTCTCAGGCAAAATGTCTCCTGTCTTCCTCCTCCCTCTCACTGAACTAAACCACCAGATAAATCTTTACTTTATGATTTTGAGTTCAATCTGAAAACTTTAATATCCCTACTTTTCTCTTGACTCAATAAATCAATAAGTCAATTTTCATTTCTATAGCAAATTGTTTCACAGGTAAAATAGGTAATAAAATAGTAAAGCAAGAGTAATAAAAAAAAAACATAATGTCAAAGTATAAAATAAAGCTATAAAGCAGAAACAGAGATAATTACATTGCTGGACTAATGCTCCAGCTCCCCAAAATTAAAAGCTAATTGAATGGATAATGTGTTATGCCCTGAGACCTCAGGTGGACCATGTAAATATAACACCATTACTTTTCTCTGCATGCATGGTTTTGTTAAATGCCTTTCTTACATTTCTCATTTTCAAGATCAACATGTAAAACTACCACAAACAACAATCCAGATACAAATTAGAAGAAAAAGTAAAAAATAAAAATAAAAATTACATATGCCTGTTAAATGAAGCTTGTCTTAATTTGCAATTGCTGCTTCCACCTTGTAGTGCATTTTTTTTATCAGCTAGATCCCAAATTAGAGCAGCAGCTAATGAAAGCAGTAAGTGTCTAGACAATTCAGGTGGCAGGCAACACATACAACCATGACACCAAGCAGCAGAACTGTGGGTCATCTGCAGGTTATTTTATTCCATTTCCAACAAGGGCAAAGTGCTTTTAGATTCATTAAGATTTGATGACTTGTAAGAAAAGTCTGTGGAAAAACAAGTTTGCTCATGTCTCTAATGTCAAGAATCTCTGATTATCAGGTTAATCTGCATGCAGAGCAGGGGCTGCAACAGAAATGGTAATCACAGAGCTATCTGTATGCCCAGTCCCTGCACCTATCAAAATGCTGGACAGAATGACTTGCTCCTCTCTCTTCTTCCATCCTCAAGTGGAAAAGATAACCAATGGTGAGTGATTACATTTGGAAAATCCTAAAACGCAAGAGCCCAACACTACAGTCATTCATCACATTTTATGGAGCCTTCAGGACCTGCCAAGGTTGTCCTCTACCCTGTCTTTGTTCATAGCAGGCTGTGGCAGGTGGCAGGGCAGGAAAAATAATAATACAATAAACTATGAAAGCTGTTCAGTTCTTACTGTACCTCTAAAAAGTGCTCTGCTTGATGTTCTCTGTCCAGTTTCCTCGCAGTGGTTGTTATCAGACCTAAAAATGATAACAGAGGAACAAAAGATAAAAAAAGATAAAACACTTATTGCAGGGGATACATTATGCAGTTCATGTCCTTTCTCTGAGTAGATAAAATGAATTAAAAATATGTTTTAATATTGTAAAATATATATATAAAAAAAAATATTTAAACCTGGCTTCACTTTATTGATTCAAACACAAAATTATAGCCTGCAGTCCTGGCAAAGGCTTTCACATTTGGGACATGTTTTAGAGCTTTGCGCAGCTGAGGGTCACTCGGTTAGCCAAAAAAGCCACCAGAGCAATTCTAGCAACAAATAAAAGGCTGTATTAAAGCAGATTATTCAGATAGCATGAGGGTTTTGTGAAGCACAAAAGAGATCAAGTCAAAATGAAATCAGAAGTTAGAACCTTTTGGAACAATTTTCATAAGCCATTTTAGTATGACTCATTTTGAGATCTTTACTTAATGGATTACTTAGTCACTTCATAACAACAAATCTAATAATTCTGAACCAGATCCTACATAATCAGATACTACTAAAAGATAATGATACTGTTATTCACGCAAAGATAAAAAGGGTGTATTGGAAAAGTATCTGTATATATATCATCTACATATGCAAGGCAATACATTTAGCTATTTTTACTTGATGTAAAAAAGGTAAATTAATTTGATTCATGAGAGTTAGCCTTTTTATATGATACAGTATTTGTCGAAGTATGACTCTATATTAACATTGATAGTCAAATACAGCAATACCAAGAATGCATGCTCTAATTTTATGACTAGTTTAAATTAATTATGCTTCACAATACATTATTGACTATAACCAAAGTTGCATTATACCTTTTGGGACATTCATTCTCTCCTTACATAATGCTTGCTGCTTTAATACCTGCTTGCAAGACCCAGCTTTTAGGAGATGGTTAATAATTTACGCTTGCTGTGTATAATAAATAGCACATGTCTTAAAGAATCTGATTTCTTTTTTGGATTAAATATGGGTGTTTTTTTTTTCATCTACATTTATTTGAGTATGTGCACAAAGCAGCTGGATTGTTTGTGCAGTGCAGGGTACAAGTCCTTCTTTACAAGGGATTACTAACATATGTGCACTGTGGTTTGCTCCAGTTTTACAACTGCAAATACTATGCAAATAATTTGTGACTTCCAGCTTTCACATAAGAACATGTTTTGGACTTTACTTGCATAGAGATCCTTAAGTTGACAATTTTTAATCGTGTTAATATATCAGGACCTCAGCAATAATGCTGCTGAGAAAATCCCACACACAGCAGTTGGGGACTGGGAGGCTAACTGGGGTAACTTGACCTGAATGACGCTGTTTTTACGTAACATCTGTACTAAGTACACATTATATTTCCTCAACATCAATCGTACTGGGACAAAATTAGAAAGAACTGGCATCAGCAGAGCCAGGCTCCTGTGGGACTTCAAGACAGACAGGCAGCTGCTGACAAACAGAGCTAAGAATCAGGAGATGTGCTCTGTCTGTCTGTCTGTCTGTCTGTCTGTCTGTCTGTCTGTCTGTCTGTCCGTTTCAATTTATTTTAATTCCATTTTAAAATACAGCGGCAATTCAATACATGTCATCTAAAGACACTTAATCAAATCATCCAGATTAGTAGAAAATGGTCTATCAAAGGAAACTTAACTGATTACATCAAACCATTCACAGCATGATTCATTAGTAGTATATTTTTACTGTATGAATTCAGAATTGGTTGCTTTAACACACTTGTTAATATTGCATTATTTGCACAAAACAATTTCTTTGAGCTAAATGATTAACGTCAATGCACCTCAATGGGGATTTTGTTTTTGTTTCAATGTAATGAAGCATTGAAAAGAAATGGTATTGCTTGGGGCGTTTTAAACACTGTGCAGCTTACACACCCGGTAAGTGCACTGAAGTCACGCCCACATATACACTCACACTTTTCCCTACTAGCACATATCACAGTGTCACCTTGGGCTTGCTACGCAGGCTAACTTCAATTAAGCAAATTACGAGTAAATCTAGAGCGGCGCTCACAAGCTATGGGGGAAGGAGGGGCTTGTTCAGCAGAATACAGGGCGAGTTAACAACCCTGATGAAAATCAATGATTTACAGCTCACTGCATATCTGAGCTTAAGCAACACTCTATTCTAATTAAACATATGAGGAAAATGAGAATAGAAAAAATTAGGATGATGGTCCAATGAACAGCCTCATATTGATACTCAGATTAAAGTTCAGAGCAATCTTAAAACTATAAGTCACATGCTTTCATTGATTTTATATGGAGTAACATAGAAAATCCAAACCATACAGCACAATGGGGAGGATAACTTTTTACTATAAGGCTCCACAAAAAAAAAAAAAAAAAAAACATAAAAAAATTGTATTGCTATTTAAACAATTTCTTCCTTTTTTTAATATGTTGAAATTCTGTTAATAAAAAACACTGAGCTCAATTTTTGGATCAACTTTTCTGTTGCATTTTAATTATTCATCATGTACTGGGTTATGTATTTACGCTTTCAAATATAATGCACGAGATACATGCCAATGTCTAATGATGTGCATTTGTACTAAAAAAGTGGATGCATGGATGGTATAAACATATGTATATTTCTTGCATATTTCATCAGATCCCAAACAGATGCTGGCTGTCACTTACCTTATTGTGTGCTATTTTCCGGATCTAACACCAATCATTGTCAGCTGAGGCCTGTACTAAAGGACACACGGCCACCAAGACTCTATCTTCCACTGTGCAGACATATATGCTCCTATGAGCAGTGCTCAGTGTAACACTTTTTGTCTATTGTGTTTTTTTGTTTATTTTTGTTTTACCCAAAAGGAATCACCTCCAATCCTACAGCCAGAACCTAACAGTCAGCACTGTAAACTGTCACAGCACATTTACACACTGCTCTCAATCAAAGTTCAAATTCAATGCAATTTGGGATTTTTTTGTTGCAGCTTCTCAAAGCCATCAAAATCAAAAGCTTCACACAGAAATTCATTACTTTGTTCCACCACAGACCTAGCTCTTCAAAACAATTTGGAAGTTCACCTGCCAGAGGAGGAGATGGGTTAATAACGTTATAAACACAGACTTCACAAAGTAAATCAATGTTGTTTATTTATGTGCTCAATAGCACACAGAATGTTTCTGACTGTAAACAGGGAGAAATAATTCAGTCTGAGTGTGTCTCCTACGCATGCATACTCTATCTTATTGCTGCACATTCACTGCCTTTTACACTACCCTAAAAATCAGGTTTACTTATACCTCCTACATCACACAATTAAACCTCATATTCTCAATGTATCCTGTAAAATTTATCTGGTTTATACAAGTTACTTTTACCATTTTATTTTATATTTCCTAAATGCCAGAATAATGCCAGATTATTTAAGCAGTATTTCTTAAATATTCAATTTCCATTCACTGAAATTGTAATGCCTTTAAATATCTTTTTTGATCACAAAAGATGATCCTACTGTAGGTCTTCTGATAGGTTGGCTTAACATATTTAAGTCAAATGGAGACTCACAGTTAACGTATATAAAGGATCACCTGAAACAAAATGTGACATTATTGAACAAAGAAAAGAAAATGGCTCTGATGAGACATGGGGTAAATAACCCTTGATCTACATAAATTGGATCATGTTATGATTTCCATATGTCTGAGTTGCCATATTCATAGGTTTTAACAACTATACAGAAGTTTTAAAACACAGCAGGGATCAGGCCACAATACCATTCAGGAAGTTGATGGTGTCTTAAAAAAGTCTGAAACAACCTCATAATGAAGGCAAATAATCCTGTGAAGATGCTGCATTAGATTTAGTTGAAGTTACGTATGTTGGTTTTGGTTTTGTTTAGGTTTTCTTTTTGACTTTTCATTGGTTTCATTTCCATTTTGTGTTATTCTAGTTGCATTTGAGTTCTTCCCCAAGCTCCCTTCTACATGCTGCCATCCACACCTGCTCCTTGTCAACTTATTAGCCCAGTCTTTGTTCAGTCTCCCATTTATAATCCTCCTTTTGAGTTACTCTTTGCTGGTTTCTTGTCATTTCTTTGCTCCTCATGTGTGTTTCCCCCAATGTCTTCTGGGTTTTTGGTTTTCTGTTTTGGTTTTTGGACTTGCTTCTGTTGCCCTTTGGATCTACATTAAATCTGCAAGAAACCACCTCAGCTTACTTCTCTGCATTTGGGTCCTCTAAAAACCTCCACACAACCTGACATATGAAAAGTTTTTTTGTTGCTGTTTTTCACCTCAGAGATGTTAAAAGGCAACTCTTCAAAAATAGTCCAGAGATGTATGAAAAACTTCAAACTAAACTCAAATTTGGTCCAGAACAAATTTGAGACCTATCTGTTGTATACTCTGTACCTGCCTACTGCCTGTCACTGATTGACCTACAGAGATAGGGACTGTGACTGCAGCCTTGTAGAGAAAAGCAGGTGTGTAAGAAAGAAAATCTCTCTGATTTAAATCTTGGTTTCAAATTTGAGTATATTATAGTCATGATTTATAAAGATTTGCATAGGTATAATGCATCTAAAAGAAAATAATAAATTTATCCTAAGTTTAGCTTCTTCTCTCTTCCTCAGTTATACTTGACTTCATCTTGTTTACACTATTGATCACACAGTTTTTGCTGACACCGAATTGATTCGGATTCACATAAAAGGGGGTTTATTTGGGGTGCCAATCATGCAAGAACAGTACTTCTTACACATCAGCGCTCACCCATTGTCTCTTCTTACGTTTCATGTGGTGAAGCAGTAAAGGAGTGTTTTTTTCTTAGCAACCATGTCCTAATAAGCATTTGGGAGACATTGAAGAATCAGATTCTTACCCAGAGAAAGTTCTACATGAAGCCCCTGTCACACCTTGCCGATTTAGCCAGCTTATGCCTGACGTCCCAGAATCTTCTAAAATGCTGGCATACGCTGAACATTCTATGTATTTTTTCAATTTCGGGCAG